TAGAGTCGCTCTTTGCTGGAGTTCCACTCTTCCACACACATTTTTCGTGATTGAAACCCTACATTGAAATGTTGTACCTTGGAATACATCGCTATCGGCAATGCAACCAAGAAGGAACACAACAAGGTGAGCAAATATGTGACCTTGCCCTGTACAGCTAACGACACTTTTTGTGGAGATCGAAAAATCACGTAATGTCTATAGACAGTCAACAACATCAGAGACTGGGAGCGATGGACAACAAGCACCAAATGAAGGTAAGCGGAAAACGGACATAACAAGTCAAAATACGGCCAAGACTGGTAGAGATGCTGACCTATAACTTTAAAAGGAATCGAAATAATTACAAGTCCTAGGTCACTAACAGCAAGACTGCTGATGAAAATATTTTTATTTCTCCAGTTCTTCTTGGGTCTATAATGCCAAGTCATGACTAAATTTCCAGGCACTGCAATAGCCGTTGTAAGAATGTATAAGCCAAGGAGAATCCACTGCACCGCTAGTCTTCCGTTTGAAATATCTTTAGAAGAGTCACTAATTATCATATACGATGTATTGAAATAATCATATGTAAAATTAAAATCTAATATCCATGTATATTCTTCGAGCTGTGCCATTTTGCAAAATGATTATAGTCTTAAAGTTATGGAATAGAAATACTTTTTTCCAACCCACTCGTTAAATGAATAAGGATTTCCTCGTGCTTTTATAACCAATGGAAACAAAGTATTGCAAAAGGCGAGAAAACAATGTGTGAATATCAGTGATATATTCTTAATGTGGGTAAATTATGTAGGAGAACAAACAAATCCAATCATATTTTAAAACCCTTATTTAGCAATTTGATTCAACTGTTTTCAAGAATTCATTTGAAAACAAGCTGCTACTCTTTCTCGGTTAATTTCTTAGTAAAAGAGGAAATTGTTTAGAACACGTATCCGTAGGTTTTGTAAAACAAAATGACAAAAGGCTTAATATTTTTATAACAAAAGGCACAACTAAGGGCCTTAACGGTCAACTGAGTATAATATAACCTAGTGAAGGATCAAATAAACTTAATAATCAAATTTTTAAAAAAAAACTTTGGCCCTGAAATTAATATTAAAAACATTAATTGTTTAATTGTTGTTTTATGTCACATTCGAGAATTTGTTCACTCATATAGGGAAGTCACCATATACCGGTGACTGGCTTCAAATTTTGACCTTTACTCGGCACTGAGGGCCATTGAGCAGTGGACTTTTGCGCGAACTGGCTTATGAATACATTCAACGACTTACTTTTACATTTTTTAAACCTGTGCTATGTACGGATGTACAGAATAGATAATAGGAAAGAAAAAAATTATAGTGGTTAAACATGTAGTTTCGGTTTTACATGTGGGGACACTTACGTTATTTACAAACATGAAAAATGATTAGAGACAGAATGACGTGACTTGAAATACATTTTTTCATAAAAGATAGTATCTCCTTTCATTTTTCATGTTCTGAAGGAATCAAATAAAGAAGAAAAACATTCCGAAATGAAAACTTGGCAGGAGTTTGTAAAGCTTAGAAGGGAGCGGTTGAGAATAGTATTGTTGCCGTTCCCTTCCTATACAACGTAATATGTGCTTTGAAATGACCTATTATTATCGTTTTATTAACTTAAAAACTAAATATTTATATTGCCAAAAAACTTTCATATATTTCCAGGTGTAAAAGAAATCCGTCTAATATAAAATCCGTGCTTTTCGCAAAAGTCCCGAAAGGGATCTTTATCGTGGCAACGCCTGTCGTCACGACTGGACCTCAGTTTTTAAGGTATCATCCGAAGGACCCGCAACTTTCATTTCAAAGTGCTGAGCGCATGACGAAGCCAGTGTTCTTAAATTGATGAAATAGCCACAAATGTCTGTGGGTTGGGAAAAATATTATTTCAAGTTATATTGGCGCGAGAGGTACAGGTGTATGATGTGATGGTCTTTTAGCACTAATGAAAAGAATCCAGAAAAGCTTATGCGATAGTATTTGTTTTAGCCTTTCTAATCAAAATTTGTCCGTGAACCCTCCTGAAATATAACCTGATGTTGAACCTCTGATGTTGGTTCTTTAATCAACAAATTACTTAATTGAACATATTCATTATTCCACATCTTATCTATCATATTTTGGACGACATGAGCCCCAAATGGTGACACAAAACTATGAAAAGACATAGGCTTTTCTATGTCACAATTGCTTGTACCTGTTGGAGCTGGTTGAGTTGTAGATTGTTGGGATGCAACTGTATCAACAACTGAGGCGACAGATACTGGAATGGCTTCAGGGTTTGTCTGCTGGGCTGTTGATGAACTCAGTCCTGCAATGGAGGCAATTCCGGCGACCGATGATGTGGAAGTCGCATTTAATGTAGATATGGGGACTACCACTAAAGTCTCTGGCTGCATGGGTGTTCTGACATCTTGAGATTGCGTTACGGAAGGCATGATAGCTACATTGGATCTGGTCCTTGCATATGGACTCCTCCCCTTCGATGCCCTTGACTTGTTCGCTCGTAACATGGCTCATAAAACAAAAATAAATTTTTACATTATTTATTTATTTTATTATTTTTTATTATTATTATTATTATTATTGTTGTTGTTTTTATATATGATCATTGGCAATTTAATTATATCAATTTACATATTTTGATTAAAAGTATTTCAAACCAATATTTATTCAAGATGACCGATACCAAATGCCAATTTGTGCAAGTTCTTAATGTACTTTAGCTGGTCAACAATCACTGATACACCGGTAAATTAGTCTGAAATAATTCATCAAACAATAATTCTATGTACTTACTTCACTTGTTGCGCAAGTACCTTCTTTAATTTGACGATGAGCGAGATAAAATTCTGCATCAAAATGTTCCCGGTCTAAAGCTTTGGAGAATGACGGAAGAGGAAGCTGGCAGTGAGCATGCTCAATGATGCTAAATTAGTTGTACGAAAGAAATTAGAGTAATCCTTCTTGACCCATAATAAAATTAAGACGCAAATTGTGCTCGAAATAACCCGGCTTATCCATATGAGATAAACCCAATTATCGTTGTGTTCGTCGTGAACTTTTCACATTTTCATCTACTGGGTGAAAATTTTCGACTAAACTTGGTGCAAAGTATCCTTAGGTGAAGGGAATTCAAGTTTGTTCAAATGTAAAGCGAAGTCTTTCAAGGGGATATAACAACAAATTTGCGAAAATTTATTGGCATCATTTATAAATCTTCTTCTCAAGAACAATTGGGACAGGAAAGATGAAATCTATGTCGAATCATTCTCATGGGGTGTAGATTCGAGGTTTTTTTTTTAATCATGACCCCTGAGGGTAGGGTTAGGTCACAATGGCCAATCAACGGACTAAACTACACAAATCGTTTTTAAGGTATCCATATTCAATGAATTTTAATGCATAACAGATATATATTGGCCGAATACTCAGTATATGTAGACATAGTGTTCATATGTTTTAGTACCAATATGTAAGAGCAGAATGTGTCCTAATTTTTTACTTTGACCCGTCCTTGAAGCGTTATCCCCCTTTGCTTTTAATTAATAAAATTCATTTCTAAACATATCTATCTGGTAAAAAATTATTATTTTTTTTAACGTTTTTCTATTCTTAATGATTATATACATCATTCCACCACAGCATTTTTTGATATTCATATTTAGTATTTTAATTTTTATTTTCAAATATTTGCTTGTTTCCGTGGAACTCAATGCATTCTTCATTGATTAAATACTGCTCCGGAAATTATATTTTTGAAAATTTCTTCTGGTAAATCCTTTTCTATTCTAAACTGCTTTAAATTAGTTTTTTTTCATAATACGGGATGGATATTTAAGGTTAGAAAATTATGTCCTATTATGGGTCGGATACCTTAATTTTTTTTTCAGGGGGGGGGGGGGGTTTGTTTATTTCGATCAACAATTTTACCAAGGTTCCTAAATTAGTAATTTCTGGGGGGAAAACAAAAGACTATTCCTTCAACAAATTTGATTGATTTATGTCCAGGTCTTCATTAGAGACTTCTGATTTATATGCTTGAGACTTTGACATTATACACAGCAGACCAATAATATTTATCATAAATATCGCTTAAAAATATGCACTTCGACTGAAAAAACATTGCGTTCAGCGACGACACTGATGGATTTGACAGTTATGCAGTTCAGTTCGCGCGTTACATTCTAAACGCCACGCATTTTAATTGGCCAATTGGGGCCCGCCCATTTTGCATGTGGCTGTTAGAACAAGATCACTCAGTGTTGCTAGCATGATTTAGGAATGCATTTAAGCAGTTTTATGTGATATTGACAACGGGTTTGTTTTCTATAAAGAAGAATTCATTAAGAGCGATGCCAAATTAGTAAGGGGTTGATGCTTACGTCACGGATTCGATATCCACTGTGGGACGTGGAGGTCGGTCCTTCGGTGAGACCGTAATAACTGAGGTCCTGTGTAGATGCAGGTACAAAAAAGATCCCTCACTGTTCAATGGCGATGAGTGCCGAGCATAGGACAAAATTTGTATCCTTCCGCCGGCAAATGGTGATGTCTCCATACGAGTGAAAAATTCTCGAGAGGGATGTTAAACAACAAACAATTTATCATAGGTCTGGGTCGACCACCCTTGATAATACTCGTATGGTCACTAAGTTTTTAATATTGTCAAAAGAAAATTTTGCATTGTGTAGTCCATTTCAATCCCTTGTATTTCAGAGAAGAAAATTGAAATAGAAAAACAGATTTAGTACATGTGATGTAGAAGAGTGTTGGTCTCATTAAATTCTTTGAATTTTCGGTTCATTAAACTGAAGCTATTCTTTTGAATAAACATAGTCATTTGTAATGTAAACAATTAAACTGTGTCAAGGCAATTTAGCTGTTTCTTCTATACCGACAGTTGACTTCAGGAAATTGAGCAGCATGATGATATTTTTGTACCATTTCCACACATTTTAACACTGTCGAACGTTTGCATTCGTGTCTTTGTACTTTTATATATGCAATGAAGTGCAATTCATCTCATATCGACCAATGTAGAAGAAATCGCAAAATGGAAATGGTACGTTGAGGTGTAATCTCTATTATCTTCCATTATCGCTGTATAGAGCAGGTGCCCTGAACAAGAAAAGACAAGGGTCATAACATTAACCTGCACTCCAAAAACGAAGATAGAGGGAAAGGTTATTTGTCACTACTTTAAATATTAGCCGAATTAATTGTCACTATAGGGTTGAAGACAGGTACTAAAATCTCTAATAACAATGGCAATTTCGGGGTTGATTGGGAAGTGGAAAGTGATTTCTGAGGAAAATCTAGACGAAATCTTCCAGGCATTTGGTTTGTATATGTAAAACTTCATTGTGAATATCGAAATGGATGTCAAAAGCTGCTCATATTTTTTTGTTAATTAAAAATTATATTTTATCTTAAATGTGACCAAATTCTAACATAGATCTATACAACACTGGCAGGTGTGGACGACGAAATGCGATCAAAAGCAAAAGAGGGTCTAATTCAGCCAATCCAGGAAATCAATATTATAGACGACGAGTATTTCATTAAGACTACAATCGGCCATATCTCCACTGAAGTCCGCTTCAAACTTCGCGTAACATTCCCAAGTTCTTCAATGGATGGCAAAAAAATCATGGTACTTTTTGGAAAAGGGGAAGAAAATTCACATAATGAATTGCACTGCACTTAGTTTTGATTTTATGTCTTCAAAGGTGTCATTAGAAAGCTCAGATATAAAGAACTATATGCGGTATACTGCATATCTATGCCCCCACACAAAAGTCAAATTTTGAAAAATTCTTGAAATGTGCTGAATTCTATAAATTGTATAAGAAATATAAATTAACAGAACATATTATAGCATCGTCGCAAACCACGGCCAAAATGTACGATCCTCTCCCATTCTGGTCATCGTCGCAAACCACGGCCAAAATGTACGATCCTCTCCCATTCCCATAGGAGAGAGCTATATGCGGACTCCGGACCGTGGCTTGAGACGATGATATTATACATTTATTGCATGATAGTGAGGGAAATATGAATAATTATTCAGCGAAGAAATATCATATTCCCCAAGGGCTTCGCCCGAGGGGAATATGATATTTCTTGGCTGAATAAGTCTTCATGTTTCCCGAACATTCATGCAATGAATTGTTTATCATACCGAAACAAGCAAAACCTTTGAAATAAACAAAAACTCTCTTGACAAAAACTCTCACTTTCATTGTTCACATAAAGTAACTATAAAACCCTTTGTTCAACACATTTTCATCAACATTGTGACGTAAACCAGGTTATTGTGACGTCTACTACTCTCGGGAGTCTTCGTTCAACGAACGAGAACTATATTGCGGGAAAATACACTAGGTGTTCCGAAGAGGTGGAATATAATGAAAAGCGTGCCGACGACCGTGAAATATGAAGTTTTACGGCCCAATCACGTGATAACGTAGAACCAAACAGATAACGCGTTGTGTAGAATATTTATAATGAGGTATAATAATATAGTTTCAAAGTAGTTTACTGACAATTTTTGTTTTTATGACGTCACAAACTAGTCCGATTTTATATCATTTTTTTAGAAGAGGACAAAATGGACAAAATTTTAACAATTTTAGCTTTAAAATTTATAGAGCACAAGTTTGCTCAGAAACAATATTTACATATTTTATTGATATTATCATTCTTCACATTATATCAAAATATTGAGCCTGATCAGACCTGCACTCGGTGATTTTTACTCAAAATATCAACGTAATATATACCTTTTCTGCAGAAATCATGGAAATTTTAAATTAACGTCATTTTCGTGACGTCATTTCAAACATATGACGTAATTGCTTATGAAAATATCCAGTGCTTTGAAGTCAGCATATATCCCCGTGTTTAAGAACATAATTAAATATTTCTTCGTCAAAGTTTGATTTTGGGGGCAAATATTGGTTATTACCGAATAAAGTTCTTTGCTTGGTATATGCAATGGAAGCTTTATATTAAAATATTAGTTATCAACGCTTTGGCTGCTGGATACAAAAAAAACGATTTCTAAACAAAAACTTAGTTTATTTGATTCTTGAACTAGATGCAATGGTTGTAAGCGATACAATTTTAGAGACAAACAGATAGCAGATGTGCATTTATCGAGATGCCCTATGTACATTTATGGATACATATATAATACAGGTCCAAGTTGGTCATATTTCTAGATGTATGGACGGTGTTCCTTTCGGGTCAATCGCACCTTCGCAAAAGAGCGATATAAATGTCACACTTTCGCCTTTGCAACTTTGTTTAGCTTATTATCGTTATTCATTGTACTTAACTTTTAGTGGGCTATATTTATTAGTTATTTTATATGTCACTGTGTGTAGGTTTTTATTTAATTACTGCAATCTCTTTCTTGCGAAAATTCCCGCTAGAAATATATTCGCAACAGAGCAGATTCGGATGAGACCTTAAATACCGAGGTCCTGTGTCACAACAGGCGTTAAATATATAAATAGGTCCTGTGTCACAACAGGCGTTAAATATATAAATAGGTCCTGTGTCACAACAGGCGTTAAATATATGAATAGGTCCTGTGTCACAACAGGCGTTAAATAAATAAATAGGTCCTGTGTCACAACAGGCGTTAAATAAATAAATAGGTCCTGTGTCACAACAGGCGTTAAATATATACCGAGGTCCTGTGTCACAACAGGCGTTAAAAATATATCGAGGTCCCGTGTCACATATACCGAGGTCCTGTGTCACAACAGGCGTTAAATAAATAAATAGGTCCTGTGTCACAACAGGCGTTAAATATATACCGAGGTCCTGTGTCACAACAGGCGTTTAATATAAATCGAGGTCCTGTGTCACAACAGGCGTTAAATATATACCGAGGTCCTGTGTCACAACAGGCGTTAAATATATATCGAGGTCCTGTGTCACAACAGTCGTTAAATATATACCGAGGTCCTGTGTCACAACAGGCGTTAAATGGCAAGATAAAGATCCCTCACTGTTTAATGGCCCTGAGTGTCGAGTAAAGGTCAAGATTTGAAGCCCATCACCGGTACCTCTCTATATGAGTTAAAAATTCTCGAATCGTACATGTACATGAAAAACATAGATCAACGTGGGAGAGGGCTATCTAGGTTTTTTTAGAACTTGTGTCCAACCCCTTTGACGTGTTGTCAATAAAATATGTTCAAAACAAAAAAAAAACATAAAATCAATCAATGGCAGACACCATTTTTACTTTAAAAAATTATCTTCAAATGACCTTACCCTCCTCAAAGGCTAAGGAGCGATACGAGTATCATACATTCGCCTTCGCACTTCATCTTAGTCGCAACTTCGCCTTTTTGCTGAATCGCACTCACATCTTTGTCCTTAATGCGACGGGTGCGAGTGGCCACATCGGAACATGCACCATAGGTATGTTAACTAAATTTTACTACAAGAAAATATTTTGTAGGTAACATACAGAAAGAATGGAAATGCACTGGAAGAAGTACAACAATACGGTGATCACGAGGCGCTAATATCCCGTATTGTTAATGGCAACGAACTTGTATCGGTAAGAATTTTATGTGAACAATCTACAGAAATAAGTAAAAATTTCACTTAGATCAATTACCTTGTGACTTAAAATATTTCGATTTAAAAAATTATTTAATTTTGTATCTATGGATTAAAACCTCTGTTTTGGGACATTTTGTTAATAATCAGTATTATGTTCGCATGGGTAACGGGGACAAATCAGGGGATAAAACGGTTTGATGCCTCATCAACCTTCTTAGCTCACCTGAGTCTGAGCTGAAAGCTTAAATGAAGTTTTTTATTCACTCGTTCGGTGTACGTCGTTCCGTACACTTTTTCACATTTTTGACTTCTCAAAAATCACTTGGCCAATTTCACCCGATTTGGCATAAAGCATATCTTGGTTTAAAGGGATTTTAATTTTACATTAAAAATGCTCATATAAGTCCATTCAGAAAAGTATTTCAGGGCCAGAGCGATCACGGAACTCTAAAAACATCCGAGATGGGATCAGGTACCATAGAGTCGGTCAAAAGCTCTACAGAGCTTATGTTAATTGTTGTAATAATCTGACTTTAAATAAAATTTTCTGATTCAGAGGAGTGGGCATTCCCTGCCCATCAGTCACAGCCGCCCTGCTTTTCTCATGATCGAAAAACTACAAGTCAAAAATCAGTAGATAATTCAGTGTGTAAGTAACGGGCTAACAGTTAGTAAGAAAAACATCAATTAGAATTTGACTTAATGATAGATTTTTATTTGCTGACCAGGTCAATTTATCGACCAACTTGCGAAATGGGAACTTTAAACGAGACTGTTGATATTATACATTTATTGACTAAGTTAGAGGGCAACATGCGTTTTGTCAGACCCAAGAACCAAACTATCTGCCTGAGGCCGTTAGACCGAAGGCAGACAGTTTGGTTCAAGGGTCCGGCAAAACGCGTTTTGCTCGAGGACTCAGTCAATAAATGTTTTGTCATACTTTTCATCTGATTTCAATTATTTTGACACACATGTATTTTGTACTGTCTTCCATGATGTAACATCTGGTGTGTCACTGTTGAACACCAACAAATGAAAATGAGATTAAGGTATCCGATCCATATTAGCCTCAGATTCAATGGAATTGAATGCCTAAATATGCATGGGCTGAATACTCAGTGTAGTTAGAACTAATTTTCATGTTTTAGTATAAGAATGTAAGAGTGGGACATGTCCTAATTTAGACCTTTTCCTGCCCTTGACGAGTTATCTCCCTTTGATTTTACTCAATAAAAATTAATTTAAAAAAAAATATATCTGGTAAAAAAAATATTTCTAATTGTTTTTCTATTCCCAATGATCAAATACATCTTTCCACCACGGCTTTTTTTTGATATTTGAAGTATTTATTTTTTTATCTTAAAAACTTACTTCCTTCCATAGACTTCAATGCAATCTTCAATAATTTATTTCTGTTTAGGTAATAAATTTTTTGAAAATTTCTTTTGGTAAATCCCTTTCTACTCTAAAATGCTTTGAAATAATATCAGGATATTTTACAAACAATTGATATTTAAGGTTAGACATTTTGGTCCTAATATGGGTCGGATACCTTAAGTTCCGCCCATTCTGTGACGTAAGCGGTCCAACATCTCACTGACCAGTCCAACATCTCACTCAGCGGTCTAACATCGATTGCCCGCTCAGCCAAACATTAGAAATGTTAGTCTTTCTTTCGTATAGATTTGTATAGGAGCAAAATTTTAAAGGTATAACAATCTGTTTTATCAATTTTTTGGTCAATAACTTGCCTCGTTTTTAGAAATTAAAAATGCAAAGCATGTTCTTATGTATCGAATAAATTGAGAGACATAACCCCATATGAGGGTGATAAGTACAGTGTATATTGCTAAACAAGTTGACCTTGGAGTTTGACCTACTTTTACACAAACATTCCACACTTTTACTTTGGCCATATCTTTTGAACAGTAGATACCAGGAGTTTTACACTTCATATGTATATTCTTTATGGATAGACCTTTCATTGGATACCAACAATTTTGACCTTGGTCTTGGTTCCGTACTTATCAAAAAATTTTCACCTTGATCATAACTTATAAACAGTTATAGCTAGTGCTTTCATACTTCACATATGTAATTCTTGTAAAAAAGACTCTACATTGGATACCAAGAAGTTTGACTTTGACCTCCAGCAAACTTTGACCTTAACTTTTTAAGGGTTAGAGCTAGTGTTTTCATACTTTACATATTTAATCCTTGTGACAAGACCTTTCATTTGATATCATTTGATAGCTTTTTATTTTCTTTTAACCTTTACCATAACTTTTGAATGGTTAGGGCTAGGACTTACATACTTCACATATGTCTTCTTTGTTGCAAGGGACTTTCATTGGATGCCAATTATCTTGAGCTTTTTCTTTGACCTGCTTTTTCACAAACACAAATTTTTTTTAACCTTTACCATAACTTTTGAATGGTTAGGGCTAGGACTTACATACTTCACATATGTCTTCTTTGTTGCAAGGGACTTTCATTGGATACCAATTATCTTGAGCTTTTGGCCTTGACCTTGAAGATTTCCGTACTTATGAAAATAAACTTTAACCTTTGCCTACTTTCATATTTCTTAAATGTATTTACAGTGAGAATACCCTACTTGGGTACCAATATATTATATTATAATTTGCATATAGGAAAGTTTAACCTTTGGCATGTTGCCATACGGGGCATCAGTGTTTCACAAACACATCGTGTCATAGTTGTTGTGGTCCAGCTGCTAAGGATGTAGTTTGGAAAACTTGAATTTACTCTTTCAGAGTGCAGTAATTAGTTGCCCTAGTTCACAGAAAAATCACTCTGTGTCCTTTTAATGAATCTGTAATGGTAATGTGATATATTTAAATTAATCTAACTTGTAGCTGTATTTCGAACATTTTTAAGAGTTAATAGAGAATTTATAAATGTCAAATATTTTAATACGGGTGTGTTTTGATTAAATGGTAATTTATTATCGTAAATGCCATTGGGTTTTAACGAATGTCTAACAGTATTTTCTTCATTTTCAGACCATTACAGGAAAAGGAAAGACAGCCATTATTCGTTATACACGAGTGTGACATCATCAACAAGATACCATTTCAACCTGTCGAAACTCAAAGTTAAATTCTATTGGATTCTCAAACTATTTTACAAACCTTTGATTTGGGTTATCGACAATGATTGTATGCAAGATTCAATTTTTAAAAAAAAATAAAATTGGGTGTTTTAAAACCGTGATCAGTTCGTGGTTTGATAAAAAATATTGGTTACTTGGTGGTTTTTTGATTTCTTTCTTTCAGGATAGTGTATTTATATTTCATGGGGCCATGAAATGGTGGGTATTTGATAAAAAGAAGAAATTAAACGAAAATATCAGTAATTTTCATTATTTCATACAAATTGGGAATAATGAAATTTTCATCTACTCAGTATTCCCTGGTTAAAACAAATTAAAGTGTCTATGAAATGGCTTGTAACGAGGTAAGTACATACATCGTATAATGGTAATTGAGACTCCTTGTTCTAAGATATGCATGATTGTCTTTTTAAATAAGATGTGAAAATTCAATAATCTTAAACACCCTTTCCCCCTTAAATTAAGGTCCTTTGTTTCCTATTCCTTTGCCATACGCTCAGCACCTTGAAGTGATAGTTGCGTTCAGGACCTTCGGATTATACCTTAAAAACCGAGGCCCCGTGACACAGCAGACATTGGCACGATAAAAAAAACACACTGCTCAATGGCCGTAAGTGGCAAGTAAAGGTCGAAATTTGAAGCCCTTCACCAATATATATGGTGACGTCTCTGTGAGATGAGTTAAATATTCTCAACGTAAAACAACATACAACCAATCAATCTTTGTTTCCTATTCGTCTTTTATTCAATATTGCATAAACTGTTAACAACCTGTGTCTAACCGATGCATCTGAAATTCCGCAGTATTGTTAAGATACGAACAGCATGGTGATCGGAACAGTTTCATTGTTTTCTTCCTGAAGTTCTTATCCATCACAAAATAATTGATTGGATGGACAGCGCAGTTAGTGAAGGCGAACCAATGAGAGAACATCCAGTGAACCTGTAGGTATTCCTGGGACATCAGTTGCTGGTTGTTACTGGCTACAACAGTTATGACGTGGAGAGGTAGCCAGGAGAGGGCGTAAAAAACAGCCACGCAAATTAACACCTTCACCGTCTGAAAAAAGAAGAACATGATGTATTTAAAAATTGTATTTTTTCAATTGCTAAAATTTGGATTTTGGTTAGAAATTAACAATTTTTGTACCCCGCTTTTGCAAAAGTGCATGGACATAGATTGAGTCTTATTTGGCGGTCTGTTACAAAACTGGGTGGTGCAGAGGTTGAACGTCTGCTCTCGAATCCACTGTGGAATGTGGAGATCAGTCATTTGCAAACTCACATAACAGACGCAAAATAAAGCATTTCAAAAAAATGTGTCGTAAAGCAAGGGAAAGGTCTGCCCATTCCCATGAAATTTTCAAGATGCTCGAGTTTGGACAGTTTATTTTTTTTTATCCTCGCAATGCCAGGGGTCTGAGTCGAGAGCAGTTTTTCCAAAAGACATACACCACCACCTCAACCACCATTTTGAAACCCCTGGTTACTAGCTTGAGAAGATATTTTTCTTTCAATTGTGGCAATACGTGTGACAAGACCTTTCCTAATGAATTATGATTTTTGACTTCATGACCATGCTATTTTACCATGACCAACAATCATTCTCCAAATGTTCTCTAAACTTAAGTTTTTTCCCTTTATAAATCGCAATGTCTAATTTGTGATTTTTTTTTTTAGAGAATTCAGTTGTTAAAAAAAAAAAGTAAGGAAGTAAAATGCTTTACCCGTCGTTTTTCTTGGTCCAGCTCTTTGATTCTCGTGGGATGGTTTTCTCCTGGTAGCTTACGGATCCAAACAAGAATTCCAATATAAAAATTGGAGAAACATAATATAAGAAGTGGAATAATATATTGAATTATCATTATTACAATGGTGTAATAAAGTCTATCTTTACTGGAGTCCCAGACTTCTACGCACATGCGGGTTCGAATGTGAAATGCTACATCAAAGTATTCTACTTTAGAATATATGGCAACAGGCAATGCAACGAGGAAGGAAAAAAACAATGCTAGCACATACGTGACTTTCCCTTGCAAAGTAAGTGAGACTTTTTGCGGTGATCGAAATATCACGTAATGTCTGAATACAGTCAATAGCACCAAGGACTGGGAACGATGGATAACTAGTATTAAGTGAAGGTAGGCTGAAAATGGGCACAAAAATTCAAAATATGGCCAAGATCGGTAAAACTGCTCGCCTACCACTTTAAACGGAATAGAAATGAATACAAGTCCAAGGTCGCTAACAGCAAGACTGCTGATGAAAATGTTTTTATTTCTCCATTTCTTCTTTGGTCTATAATTCCAAATCATTGCGAAATTTCCAGGCACTGCAATAGCCGTTGTGAGCATGTATACGCCAAGGAGAATCCATTGAACCACTTGTCTTCCATGCGATGTGTATCTATACGAGTCACCTATAACCATGTATGATATATTGAAATGATCATATGTAAAATTATAATCTAATACCCATGAATATTCTTCCATTTGTGTCATGTTGTTATGATCTGATTGATATATGGTTTTAATTTTTTATACCCAGCTCCTTTTTTAATCGTTTATTAGTGCTTTTTAACCTTTATCCAACAGCCAATAGAAACGAATAAAGAATGTGATAAGTTTTCCAAGAAAAAGCATGTTAATATATATGTGTGTGCGTTTGGTTAGTTGGACCTAACCACGCCCAGTAATGAAAGACACTGAACTCCTTTTTTTTTATAAGAGTGATTAAAAGATGTAATTAACTGATGTATAATTTCTAGGTGAAACTTAAACAAGATCCTGAGTGATCATTTATCTCCCACCCTCAACCCACCTCAAATCACGGTCATTTCATATCAGGGCCAATATAGTTACAAATTCTTATATTTAAAAAAACTCGTGATAAAATTGAGATGTATATATATATTATGCAATTTTCCTCCTCTGTAAGCACGAAAACCCTATTAATATATTCAGGTCATGTCCCTGAGAAAAATATTCACAGTTTGAGGTAATTCTTGGATTCTGCATTTATACAAGTCAATTGGAATGCAATTTGCATCGTAAAATGACTATATCTCCACGTTTAAAGACGGCATACTTGACAGATATCACACTTGATGCATTGGTTCTTCTTTTGGAGTAGATAACCCGAGTTCACAAGCTCAAAAGTCAAGTACAGATCCAACTGGAAATAGAAAGATGTTAAGTGTTCGATTTATTAAAACTCTTTGCTTGACAGGCATGAAACTTGGTACAATGATCTGGTTTCCCCAGAGAATTATAAGCATTTGGCCACAATGACAAAGGCCAAGGGTCACAATGAACTTAGGAATATTATACATTTATTGACCGAGTTCGAGGGCAACATGCATTTTGTCGGACCCAAGAACCAAACTGTCTCCCTGAGGCCGTTAGGAACATAGTCAAAAAATGTTTTGTTTATATACCTTTCATTTTAATCTTTTTACACACATGTACATATGTAACATGCTTTTGTACTGTCTTCTGTGTTGTAACCTCAGGTCCGTCACTGTTGAACACCAACGAATGAAAATGAATTTAAGCTCCACCCATTCTGTGACGTAAGCGGTCTAACATCTCACTCAGCAGTCCAACATCGATTTTTTTATGCCCGCTCAGCCAAACATTAGATATGTTGGACTTTTTTCGTATAGATTTATATAGGAACAATATTTTAAAGGTATAAGAAAACTGATTTTGTTATATGAAGTCACAAGAATCACCAATTCTGAACTTCTTTCAAATAAGTGGAAAAAAGCAACTAAACATAATTAATTCTGCATTTTATTCAAGTTGATGCAAACAAAAAACAATACAACTAAATGGTCAAAATTTCCAATTCCATATCACGGCTGATCTCAGACCAAACTACCTACTGCAACAAAATATTCTTACATTGGAGTGAAAAATCACAGACATTTGTATAAACAAGTGATGGTACACTTCTAAACAACATGCAGCCAGAGTTGATAAAATATCATCTTTTTGAACACTATTCAGTTTAATAAAGTAGTTTTACATCGCAGAGAATGTTGTGGTATATGTTCATAGGTCAAAATTTTGTTCAGGTTATGAATATAATTTAAGCCACTAGTACAAAATAAAATTTTAGAAAGCTTATGTATAATTTTTTTTATATATATTATAATGTACATGTAATAATAATACAGATATATTATTACACTAAGGACTTAAAAATTTAAATAAAGGTTAGTGTCATAAATGAATAAAATGCATTCTACAGTTTTACAAAAAAAATTATGTCAAGTAATGAGTACCAAATGGTCCTCTGAATATCTCTGTATAAAGAAAAAAAACCGCAGCTTTGACCCTCAGAATCACTAAGTCCTTCAGAGCTGTAAAATACCTATACAGTCAATATCATTATAGGACAACTATATCTGGTCCACAACCAATACTAAAAATCATACATGGTCTATGTTATGTGTGAATTTGTTCAGGACAAAGCATGAAGAATGAAAAAAAATGTCTGAACCTCCTTGCATTCATATTATGCCTTCCATTTTAGTAAGCATTTTACTTTAATCTGTATCTACTATCACATAAAAATTAGTCCAATGAATGCCCTGGTTTTACATAAAATAAGACAGGCCTAACTCACTTTCTTCAGTGCTTTCTGCAATAAACTAGGTCAGAGAAACAACTCCATGACAGTTGTCATTTTGGCTGAGTGCCCATCCATACCATGTGTTCTCAGACTGGCCTTTCTGTGTTTGCTGTTCAGCATTGTCTTCCTGTTTTCTGACAATACAGAGATCCATAACTGACTTCAAAATATGGTTCCCCACACCATGCAATGGTTATCTCTTGTATATTTTTGTAGCTTTTTTCACAAACACACTTAAAAAACTAAGTACAGGAAAAGCTATGAAAAATACTAACAGAAAACGAAAATCCTTACAAAGGCGAAAAAAGAAAACCCAGCTGATGTTATGTACTGCAGAAAGCAGAGAAATACATTCACATGAACACAGAAAAAGGGCAAACAAAATTATATAAAAAAGGCTACATTAAGTTACATATTTTCTGACTTTATCAACATTAAAAACAATGAGAGTTTGTTTAAAATACATTATAATTTACCCACTCATTCTGTTTCGTACACATTAAAAAGAACATATCAATTTGCTTACTCAGTGAACAGATCTGTGTGTTGTTGTTGTTTTCTTCTTGTTACTGTAATTTTGATTTTTTTTTTTCTTTTGGCTTAAATTTCTGTTTGATTCTATTAATGAATTCAATCAAGTTATTATCTTTAGTGTAACCTTACTGTTGAACAGTGCGAAAATTTTTTTTGGAAATGTCTTTCAAATAAATCATGGCCAAAATTTACTTAATCACATCACTGCTTGTAGTGAAATTTATTGCACAAAACTAACATACAATAATAAATTTATTATACATGCATGCAGAACAATCAAAGAAAAAACACAAATTTTCTATTCTATTCTCTTTGTACACAAAAAGTATAAAAAAAATATTGGCATTCCTTTTTTTGAATCTGAGAAATCCAATGTCTTTTTGTTTACTACAACATGTAATATAATTACATTAATGTTGAGAGCAAAAATTCCTCCCCATTTGGAAACTTAACTACAATCCGTGAGATTTTCCTGGAATAATACTGTCTTTTCCTTAGATCCAAAAGATGATAAAAGACTGCTAATTTGACACAGTCATGAGTGGTTTTACAAGGATTTCTGTTATAAAGTCCTTAATTTAGTAGTTAGCCCAACAATAATAAATCTTTTCATGAAAAGACAGGCCATTTGTTTGGGGTAAGTGATCAACTTCAAAATGCCCATAATGCCTTTACTGACCAGAAAACATAAGTCATTATTGTCAGTCTATTACAGTACATACTGATTTTTTTGTACATGGTTATAACAGAAAAAATATGAAATAGAAATGTTTATATCTAAATGATGAAAATGCTGCAATTCCCCTCTGAACTTGTCATTTGTTTGTTTTTTTTTGTAACTTCATTATTTTACCCAAAGATCAAGATGACACACCCTTTAATATATTTTGAATGCCTGTACATGTATACTGAATTAAAAACTATTGTAAATACTACAATCGAATTTATTTTATAGCTTAATTTTTTCAAATTAATTTTTCAATTAATGCACCTTCAAGAGACTAGTAAAAATATGTACGAAAGGAAAACACAAGTAAAATATAAATCACAAGAAAAAAAAATTGGTCCAGCTTGCAAAAAACAGTACAATAAAATATAAAGTTTTAAAAGTTATAATATATTACTTTAAAATGTACACGTAACATATAGCGATGGTTTAAAATATTTCATAAAACACAAATAACAAAAATGTTGATTAAGCATAATGATATAAATAGAAATATATTTTTCTATGTAGACAAATGAAAAAAATTCTGCTAAGTCACTATTTTCAAAAATTTTAATAGATACAGTATTTTTCTTACCCAAGAGAGACAAAGGGCTAAAAAATGAATGCAGACAGCAAGGAAAATGCATATAAAAGCATATATAAGCTCAGTGAGACCTTATGAAAAAAAATGAGACCTTGAAATACACACTGAGAAACTAACTGAGTGAGATTAAGAAAGCTTTTAGTTTGTGAGAATAAAAAAACTGAAAGTTTATAGATTTAAAAGCTGAAAGTTAGAAATGATTAAAGCTCAGATTCTAGAGAAGATAACAAAGACATAACAAAAAAATTCAAAAGATATGAATGTAACACAAGATAGTTCAATCATAAGCTTTAGCTGCCGTTCTCAACCCTTTCTAAAAATAGCAATACTTTAAAGTTCACTTTACTGAAGTGTCATTTTTACACCTTTCCCTCTTCAAATGTTATAATCCACTTTTTTCACATAAAAGATTCAACATACATGATTGTAAAAAAAATGAACAAAAAATGCAAAAAAGCGTTTTAAAAACAACAAATGTAGTAGTGGAGTAAATGTTTTAAACATAAAAATAAATGAAATGTTTCTATTATGGAGCAATATTTCTTCCATTTTATTTGCAGTTTATGTACCTACACATATATATTCCATAAATTTAGATATGTAATCTCTTGTCTTATAGACAAAGTCCCACTACCAAAAAGTAGAATAGTTCATCACATTAGCTCTCTCTGTGGTGAACAATGTGTGAATTAGCAAAAATCTCCAAAGTTCCTACAACCTAGGACAAGAAAGAATTAATTCTGTCCATGACATAATCTCTGACAGGATTGACAAACTGCAGGTGCTGTCTGAGTTGAGTTAGCAATGGATGGTCTAAGTTAGAACTCAACAGAGTAATGGCTGTGACTGTTAGGGTGAGAAACACAAAAAAGAAAGTAAAGAGGAACATCCTACAGCAGCCACCTCCCGTGCTGGTGGTCTCCACCGCGGTGCTCTTTGTGGAGTTACCCACGTGATTCTGTGTGAGTGGTGCTGACAGGATGTTATTGCTGGATTTGGGCACTGTGGTGAGGACTGCTTCTTCCTGTACTTCAGCCTCAGGCTGATAAGATCCAGAGAAGCTACTCTTCCTCTCAATCTCTTCCTCCAAATCCTTGATCTGATCCTCTAGGCTGGGCTTCACTACCTCCTCCTCATCCTCATCACTGTCTGAAATCTCCTGACGACCTTGACCCTCCTTGACTGGGGACTGCTCCTCAATCACTGTATGGTTAGGCTCATAGGGGGGCATCTCATCACTTTGAGGGTTGAGAACCGTAGCTGGCAGACTGCCATTTTGTTTCAGAGGTTCTGTTTCTGTGGCAGTAATTTTCTCTGGTTCCACCACTTCAGACACCACGGAGTCCTCTGGGGTAGCTACAGGGGCTGCGACAGGGGCTGTTACAGGGGCTTGTACAATGTCTGCCTTTATACTTGGTTCTTTACTGGGTACATCCACAGCAGACTCTAAAAAAAAAACATGAACAGCATAAGTGAAATTAAATACCAAAGCAAATCAAAAATATACCAAAACTAGGTTTTCCAAAAAACAGCAGAAGATATTTCTCATCTCAAAATAAAGCAATGTCTGTCATTCTAGTAAAGAAGAAAGTCTGAACTAAACAAGTTTACGATTTTAAAATTCTAGCAAACCCAGCACTGATAATATTTTTTTGTTTATTTACTTCATTTAAAGGGTAAATTGATATAATTAAAGTAAAGAGTTTCTTGCTTTTGCATTCTTTCTTCTAAAATTAAAAGCCATGCTGTGCAGAGTAAAATATTTTGTAGAACAGATGTGGCTGCAGGAGATTATACACAGTCATGTTATTTGTAAATAACTGGGTTTCAAGTTAGTTCTTAAACCAGAACACATTCAGTACCAATCAATATACAGGGAAGATAATGTATATACTTGCAAATAAGTCAGCTTACAAGACAATCATTTTTAAAATATTTCCTTATTACAAGTATTTTAGAGGAATTTGATACAGACCAAAATATACATAGGTAGGTACACTTTTTTTTTTATTTGTTTTGAACATATTTTATTGACAATAATTATATGTCAATGATTCAATGCTTATGTTTACATTTTTAATTCTCTTTGGTGTGAAGTGATTTATATTTTCAAATCCCTGTACTTTTCTTCAGATAAGTTACATTATGTGAAAAGCCACAGCAACAGCTACTTTTACTATCAGTAAAACTGCTGAAAGTGTGTGAATTTTTGTTTGTAATGTTGGGTTTGTATGGTGTTCAATGCACTGTAACCCTTATCTAAGTGTTCGTGTCATTAGTGTTTGAAGTGCTGTAGCTCTCCCTAAATTTTATGAACAAAATAGAAAAGGAATGTAAATACAATTTTAAAGCAATATTTGACTCCCCAAAATTTAACTTTTATGCAAGTATACAAAGTAACTCTGTGTATATATTCATCTATTTGTTAACTGTAAAATTTTATTAAGATAACATTTTCCAATTTTTTTCTGATCTCTGAGTAATTGTAAATGACTGTCAATTTCAAATTTATAGTTTAATAGTGACCAATGGCAATTGAAGATAATCTAATTAATTAACAGACATTGCGCAAAGATCGTCTTTGAACTAGGATGAAATGCTTGTTTACACAAATTATTTATAGTACATTTGTATATCTTTGTTTTTGAAATCTTAGTACCGGTACATTTATGAAATAAAATATTTAGATGATAATGAATTCATAATACTTTAAGAGTCAATGGAAATTATGAAAACATAAAACTTGTGAAAGAGAATTACTCGAATTCTAAACAACATTTTGTAAGTATATTTTAAGTTTAAGGAAATTGCAAAAACAGTTTTTGCTCTAATACACAAAATCTCAAACATGCTTGGTCATCATTAGTATAATCATACAAATACTCAGAGAATAATATTGGCCTGAGCACTTACCCCTGCGTAACCCCTTGTTAACCCTGTATTTTCTTTTATCTACAAATAACATGCAAACATAGTGAACCTACTCACAACACTGCATTACTTACTTGGTTTATATGCTATATGCATAAAAGAAAAATATAAATTGACTTATTAAACAAATGCAAAGAAGCCAGGCTAGTGAAGGGAAGGTTTCATTATGCCTTCCAAGAGTTGTATTTGATATCTTTGCTGTTAAACTTACATGTTAACAGTCTAAAATTAATGCTTAAAATTCTACCATTTTCACCAAATTCAAATCATGCCTTTGACAAAATGTAGAATTATTTGATGTTGGCTTATAACATGTCTTTTTATTAATATAGTTTTTTTTTTGGCAAAAATTTTCTCGGTTCTCTCCTTACTGGCTAATTATACTGTTAAAGCTCAGAGGAGTATGTGGAATTCTGAACATTTTTTATTTTTTTTTACATAACAACCATTGGAAGGCAACTGGTGTGTAAAAAAAATAATAATCCTAGCATTTTACCAGATTTTACCATAGTTCATATACACTTATCATGCAACAAGCAATAATTACAACAAACTGGAAACAAATAATAAAAGGGAAAAATTACCATGAATAGCACAAAAAATAACATATCAGAAATTAACAAAGGAGATATTAACGCAAGAGGATATAATCCCAGATAAGGGGGGATTCTAGGAAAATGTCTTGTGACATCTCTCCACTTACCCTCCTTAATTGGAATCTCAAGTGTCATAGATTTATGTTTGTTTGGAGAATACTTGCTGTCTGGTTTTCTACCATAGTTTGGCAAGGAAGAGGTTCTAAAAATTTAAACAATTCTCACATATATTAAAGTATGCAAACTAACCTTCTTAATATATAATTGTGCTTAATTCATCCCACCCCTTTCTTTTTTTTAAATTATAAAAAAAAGATTCAAATATCATTCATCCCCCCCCCTTTTTTTTTTTTATAAAAGCACAATGTACGTTATGCACTCTTTGTTTTCAGTACTATATAGTATTTGAGCTGACCTGTTAAAATTGGGTTCATTTCTCTTGATCTCCTCACTGGCAGCAAAAGCCTCATTTTGACATCTTCCACTGAAAAAAAAAACAGATGGAAAAAATCAGTTTCAATTTGTATCGACTGATTCAATATCGGTTCATACATGTTACTTTATGCCAAGTTTATCACTGATGTAGAGATTATAGATACACTGATATGAACCTGAATCTAAACTTTGAGCCCCTGGAGAACAAACTGTGTCCTGATCGTAGCTTGGGTGGATGGGCTGAGTTCTGTAACCTGTAAGAATTGCCAATGGTTTTCTTTATATATAATCTAACTGTACAGTTTACAGATAAACAAAGTATCACCTTAACAATGTACTGTATTGTTTACTTTGTGCATTTAAAGCAATTTAGGGAGACTAACTTCCATATACCAAAACCAACCAGACTGATCATGTTCCAATATTGTAATTCATTAATTAATGACATATTAAATAAAAGTACACAAAAATTACACAAATGAAAGCAGTCTGGGAAAAAAATTTGAAAAACCTTTATTTTGGTACCAAATAATTCATATTGTTATTTTATACAAAAGTACTGTACGCATAACCATAAAACATTTAGAGAAGTGTTTGTTTGATATGCAGAGTTATGACGACACATGACGTGAACATGACGTATACCAGTACTATTTAACTTACGTGAAGAACAACTGCTGCTCTACAGCACACTTCCAGAGATATTTGCAAGCAGCCAGGGTATCACATTTGTAACCTATTGGTTTCTGCTTCTATTAAGTAAATAAAGACATACAAAAATAAACTACCAAAATGTCATCTTGAAATAGCTTATGATAATTTTATGTATGAAATTTATAACAAGGCTCTGATTTACAATAGCAGTTGATGAATAACAGTAAAAAATGTTTCTTTTTTTTTTAAATATTAAACAAAAAATATTAACATCTGGAAGCACTAGTGTTTGAATTTTAAATTTGTTAATTTGCATGTAAACTGCCAATGACAAACTTATTTCTATATACTGAACCCTAGTACATGTATATGTATACCATCTCTGACGTCTGTTTTACCCTTTTATCAGAGTGTGAATATTAACAGTCATTAAGACGTGTAAATTTTCTAGTGAGAGAGTGAAACAGATGCCTTACTGCAGCAATGTGTTAAAAAGATTAATTATCGAAAGAAGAATCATGCTATAAATCACCATGTTTATATATATCTACATATAATGATATACACGTATTAGTCACCTTGTATAATTGTCCATACACTGTGAACAGAAATAATTAACTTGTGATATCCTGTGTTTTTTTTCTTACATTGGGTTCAGTGATTAAGGATCACTATATTTAGTACATAACCTACATTATGTATCATTTTCACATTATAATTTTTCCTGAGCATTGACTTTATTGATATGTCACAGTCTATTCTAGATATAGGCTACCTGGGTACCTACGTTATGTAAACTAAACTCTGAGTCAATGTGATCTACCTTACCAAAATGAAAGATTTCTTTGGGGAATGCACTACCTACTGTTCACATCACCTATACATGTACAATATTACATTATACAAGTACCTAGTATATATCTTTCATTTTCAGTCATGGAAACAGTTTTGAAGTTTATTTTTATCTACAAAAGTTTTGTAGAAGTCCATGTGTCACTTGTTGCCAAAGCATTTTGGAACAATAAACTATAAAAGCACAGTATTGTCATTTTATGTTTAGTGATGTGTGCAATTCAAGCCTTAGTAGCAAAATGTTAACATTAATAATAACAGAGCTCCCTGTGGCTCATGCCCATGCAGCTTTAAACAGTTGTGAAAATTACCACAGTGATTGAATATTAAAAATTAATTATCATGTAAGTTTCAATCATTAAACTGAAATATTTGTACAATGAATTATAAACAAATGAGTAATGCTTGCCCATGCCCCTTTAAACTATACAAAAATAAGTTAAGCCTATTTATGACAACTGACCCTTGTCTAGTACAAATTTTAAATGCTGATGGACATGAGAGGGACATGTTCTGTGATTACTTTATTGGCCACATCTTGATGCAGAGGTCTTTTTAAAATAAGAACAGATGAAGCTACATGTATATAGTAAGTCATTATGATTTAATATTTTTTTAACCATAAAACAAAACAATATGGAGGAATTATTTTCAAATCTTTTATGATCGACCCACAGTAGTATATAATTTTCTTAATTTTTTTTAAAGTAATAAATATAAACAAATAATCTTTAATAAGAATAAGAAAAAACATCCCACTTTTATAGAAAAACACTGAAACCATGCACTTCCCTGGTCCAAACTATATATATAATGCATTTTAACTATAAAATACTGCAGCATTGTTCACGTCTATGTAGATACTAAAGAATAAAGGTGCACATTTTACTATACATCTGTACTGAAATGCCAGGCAACCAGTTATAAACAGCAAAATTGTTTACACTATAAATACTGGCAGATAAGGTATAATATTTTTGACCTATTCATTCCCAATACAAAATAATAACCACATGCACCATAAAAATACACTTCTCTGTTTAATCAAAGTGAATCAAAGTTATTACTTCAATGGGTCCCGTACATATAAATGAAAGGTTATGCTAAAATATAATAAATTCATCATTTCTGGAATTAAACAGAATTTTAATATATTTCCAATATTAGAACAAACTGTATGAGATGAAATTGATTGACATTTTTAATTGTACAGTCACTACAGTGAAACATGTCTAACACGAAATGTCCTGGGAAACAGATTTTATATTGGAATAGACAGGATGTTGGATTACACAGTGTAAGAACAATGGAAAATAATAAAATGATAATGTAGTTTAATGTCAGAATACACAGTGTGATGGATTGCATACGAGTAGGTTTAGACAGTGTTCACTGTAATTTGCAGTGAGGAGAAATTGGGCGAACTTTTGTTATCATAAACATGTAAACTTAAAGGGTGTTGAATGGATTTTATTTGAACATTTTACACATGGTATATACATTTATTTCGTATTATATAAATCATTTTAGTTAATAAAAGTAAGCTTATTAGAGACAGTAAATGATATATAACTTTAAGCTATGATGAATATTTAAGGTGTACCAAATAAGTGTTTTTATAAAATTTGGAAAAAAGATACTTTAATTTCATGAACAGTCAACTATTGTTTTCTTGTTAGAACAAAGGAATTCTGATGCTGGTACAATGACCTATAATTTTGTGAATTCTTAAAATTGATAGGAAACGCCAATTAAATCATATTTACTAAGTTAATAAAATACAGAAATGCAGTTTATTTTCAGCTTTTTTGACCAAGAGTAATACATTGGGGAATATATAAGTAAAAGGGCACAGGGATAGAATGAACTCAAGTGTTGCAGAGATGAGGACTGAGTCCATAAATACTACTATCATAGATATACCATGATTGGAAGGTGGTGTCGTGTTGGAGTTCATAGGTCAAAGGACATACAAGCATTCATGGTAGAAAGGGGAAGTAAAGTCAGCCACGACGCTGATCATGAATACCCCCTATGCATAAAATACAGTGTTTGCTGGAAAAGCACACTAGTAGTCTTTTTACTTTTTAGAACTTTTAAAAGATTTTTTTGGACTTTTTAAATCTTCTCGTAATTCTTTTTAAATCTGTTGGGCTTCTTGGTTGACAGAAATTTTTGACAATTTTGAACCAATCACCTAAACTTTTTAATTATTAATTGTGGTTTACTTCTTACATCTCCTGTTCTTTTTTTTTAATTTAATTCTTGTGTGGACTGAGTTAGTACAAGTATTGTAAAATACCTAGCCAATCTAAACAAAGTGAGTTTTGGTGTGTTAGACTCAGTAGCTTACCTTTTTATTATTTGTTTGGTCTTCATCCTAAAATGCAAAAAATATAAAATAAAATATCATGCAATATAATCTGAAGTATTAATGATGAAATGCAGAGTGATTAAAATATTATGATAAGTGACAATAAGTTTCTGTTATTATTAAGAGAATAGTTTGCCTAGTTTTCTAACTGAGTACCCACCTCTGCAACACTGACATGTAAAATGAATGTCTTTCCTTCATATGTAGGCATCTTCTTAATTTGGCTCCTGAAAATTTATAATCTAAATAATAAGTTTCCTTATAAATTAACATATCATTTTCAAGACGTTTGTTTGCTTTTTATTTCCCTTTCAAGACATTTCACTCATACTGAGACATGCACCACCACTTGCCAGTGGATGGCTGCAAATTTTAGACCTTCAGTGTATATTCAGCACTTGACCATTGAGTTTTGAGAAATCTTTTTTGTACCAGCACCTAAGAAGGACCAATCATACTTCCCACAATGGGATTCAAACCCACGACATAAGGATCAGCTCCTTATTACTCGATTCTAGAGTTAATGCTTAAACCAAGGTTGCTTGCAGGCTTAGTCATCAGTCATTCATAAAATTTCCTTTGAACATAAAGATTAATGGACAATTTTTAAAAACTTTGCGAAAAATTACTTGTACTTGGGAAAAGTAATCCAAAATTTGAAAAAGCAGTATTTTTTACCATTTGTACAGCTGTGTCCGGCGACTTCCATGAAAGGTCATAATGCCTTGATGTGTGACACCAAGATACAGAGAAACACCCTTCTGATCCTACAAAACACAAAGGTTTATTAAGTCAGGAATAAAAAGAATGCAATAGGTGAAACAGGATAGTTATTTATATACTGTCAGGGTGGCAATTTTACATGTCATTGCTTTGACATTGTCAATACTGGTCAAAAAAGTTTTTTTTTCTTTATATTAAAGGGGTCAATTATATTATCTTTTTCATATTTGTACAAAAAAACAGACTGGCAAAATTTGGATTATTAAGGAATCACTGTCTAGTTAGTATAGCATGCCAGGGCATCAACGATTGTTGATGTCCCTGGCATACTATACTAACTAGACAGTGATTCCTTATATTTCCATTTCATTGTAAAATAAAATTGTAGATTTAGAGTTTAAAAATGTAGACATATATTTAATTTACACGAGGACTCCCATGCCAAATTCCTCGCCCACTGACGTCAAACACAAAGGCAGCCGCACGAGATTCACATGCATATTTGGTCTCCTTAGTGCCAGACACAGAGACAGATGCGCACAAGATTTTCGTGTGTATTAGGCCTCTTTAGCTCCTGACCTATCGACCTGCCTAATTTACTATAGGATTCAGGAAATCAACGCTAACTTTCAAAGAGTTATCACAGGGGAAAAAAATTAGAAATGGAAATATTTGTCTGTTAGTACAGTAAAACTCGGTTATAGCGAAGTCCTTGGGACCTGTGAATTTAATTCACTATAAACGTTATATCCATAATTCGTTATAGTGCGTTTAACCATTATAGCACTTTTATGTAAAGTTTGTCAAGTATTACTACCAAATATGTTAGGGAAGCAAATATTACAAAACATATCTTCGATAACTAAGGTTTTTTTTAATGAATTGAATGGTACATGTATATACAAATGCTAAAATAATTCCAATTACGATTTTTTTTTTTAAATTATTAAAATTAAATTTTATTATATTGAGGCCGCCATACAATCCGTTATTTTATATCCGTAAATTTGTTATATGCTGCATAAGAAAATTATACAAGATGAATATCGATAAAATCCAACTTAAATTGTCAAAACAATCAATAAATAAACTTATAAAAACTCATTGAATGTTGTTTAAGTCATATCCTAAATACGCGTATTCTCCAGAATAATTCGTCCTTGACCATGGCCATGTTGACATTAGAGATCGACAACGTCATAGCGAAAGAAGATTTTCAAAGATTTTTCCTATATATTTGCTCTGGTTCGTGGCCCCAAAGATTTAGGGACAATATTGGATCTGTAGGATGTAAACATATGAATTTGATGCTGAAAAGGCTATATAAGTAAAATATTGATCATTGTGGGTACGTTTCATGATTTGAACAATTTAGAATCACAACGATACCAACATCAGCTGATATGGAGTGGTTTTTGAGAAAATGACAGCTATATATGCGATTTTTTTAAAATTCACACTCGTGATGAACAACAGTGACATAAATGCTTCCACATGAGTTTCAGCCGTCTGTCAGTGCTGTTTCAAAAATTTTTCCTATATATTTCATTCATCCATTTTTTATTTCAAGTTTCTTGTAATCATAATTTAGCTAAAACGGACTAGAAGTAGGCCTATATGTTTTAAAATTGTTTTTACGACAGTCAAGAACAATTTAGAATCTACACTATTGAAGAATTCATCGATGTGTAAACTTTTTCTTGAATTTGTTCTCTTTAACCTCAACGTGACTCAAAATCAGTTCGCTATATCCGTAAATTTGTTATATCCGAGTTCGTTATAACCGTAAAATTTTACAAAGATTTGTTAAGAATTTTGCCAGGGACCCAGAAAAACTTCTCAATATCCATGAATTCGCTATATCTGTGTTCGTACTAAACGAGTTTTACTGTAGTGTGCATTTTGTGGCAGTTGAATGCACAGATATGAGTTATCTTGGATTCCCAGATTTATAAATTTAATGAATTCTTAAACGGATATAACCAATTACGGATATATCAAAGTAATTTCATAGATCCCAGTAACTTGGTTAGAACCAAGTTTTACTGTAAGAATATTTCTTCAGGAATATTAAATACAATAAAAAAGATTTGCTACAGTTTTCACAGATAATGCCCATTTTGTTGTCCAGGTCCTTACCGTCACCTGAGTATGTTACACTTATCTAAATATTGAGAAATTTACTAATGTTTAAATAACCCTTTGATCATTTTTAACTTCAATAAGGCTTTCCCTCAGTTTCCTGAGATAGAGTAAACCTGATGACAATTCTTACTTTAACTTGATGTGGATCCACCCCATACCAGTCCAGACAATTCTTACCTTAACTTGATGTGGATCCACCCCATAAGTGTCCAGACAATTCTTACCTTGACCTGACCTGGATTCACCCCATACCAGTCCAGACAATTCTTACCTTGACCTGGATTCACCCCATACCAGTCCAGACAATTCTTACATTGACCTGGATTCACCCCATACCAGTCCAGACAATTCTTACTCTGACCTGGATCCACCCCATACCTGTCCAGACAATTCTTACCTTGACCTGATGTGGATCCAACCCATACCTGTCCAGACAATTCTCATGTTTACCTTGATCCACCCAATACCTGTCCAGACAATTCTTACCTTGACCTGATGTGGATCCACCCTGTACCTGTCCAGACTATTCTTACTATGACTTGATGTGGATCCACCCCGTACCTGTCCAGACAATTCTTACCTTGATCTGATGTGGATCCACCCCATACGTGTCCAGACAATTCTTACCTTGATCTGATGTGGATCTACTCCGTACCTGTCCAGACTATTCTTAACTTGATCTGATGTGGATCCACCCCATACGTGTCCAGACAATTCTTACCTTGATCTGATGTGGATCCACCCCGTACCTGTCCAGACAATTCTTACCTTGATCTGATGTGGATCCACCCCATACGTGTCCAGACAATTCTTACCTTGATCTGATGTGGATCCACCCCATACCTCTCCAGACAATTCTTACCTTGACCTGATGTGGATCCACCCCGTACGTGTCTAGGGTGGCTGCCTTCTTCAGGAAATTGGCCTCCGCTTCTGCTGGTACCTGTCCTCTACAAAAAAATATCATATTCAATATACACTTATGTGTCTCTCTCTTTCTTCCCAGCAACAAATTCAGATTTGTATCCTCAGGTATGGTATGTGTTAAGAATAAAAAGTGAAACTATTTGTTGAGGAAAAGAAAGTGTGGTGTACAAGGAAAGAACAAGTCACCACTCTGTGTCATTATTATTTCTCAATTTTTAAGTTCACATATTTATTCTTTTCAATTTAAAATTTCTGCAAGTAACGTCTCATCTTTCATACATTTGATTCATATTAATATTTCTTTGAGGAGATTTTTTTTGATAAAGTGAAACTTGCCGTATCCAGATACAGTAAAACACATAGCAAACACACTTAACAAGGAAGTGATTTTCATTTTATACATGACATTAAAATATATTGTAAAATTAACGGATAATTGAATTACGCTAATAATGAAGCAAAATTGCCTGTCCCTGATTCTTTGTTATAAGTGTGTTTTAGTGTATTGTGTATTCCAAAATCCATTTTTTTTAATCTATGAATTTTAGGATTGAGAAAAATCTTGTCTCAAAGAAGGCGTGTATCCTTCCTTTTACGCTCTATTCCTTCATAATTTTACATCATTTTTATTTCAATCTTTTATAAACAGTAAGTTGTTTTATATTTAAATTATGAATAAAGACTTGTCTTATGCTTTTCCTTCACCGAATGTAAGATTTTCTGCTGCTTACGCTAGGGTCTTGTGAATTTCCATGATTTCTTCCTCCATTTTGGCATTCTGTTTTGGTAGCATCTTGAACTCAGACACGTAGCCTGGGGGGTGATCCTCTGGGTGGTAATCCCCCACCTCAGCTAGCAAACACAAAGTTCAATTACAAGAGGCCCAGGGGCCACAGCGCTCACCTGAGCACATTGGCTAGGAAAAAGCACATATCAGATCAGAACTGAAAGTTTGTAACCCCCCAGGGGTTCATGATTTGAACAAACTAGAATCTACACTACCTGAAGATGATTCCATATTAATATCACTAATCATAGCTTTGAATTACTTGCAAAGATGATTTTAAAAGGTTTCCCTATAACTCCCTATGTAAAACTTGGGTCGGCCATTTTGGCCACATCCTAGCCCCGGGGTCATGATTTGAACAAATTTGAATCTACACTACCTGAGGATGATTCCACATGAGTTTCATCTTTCCTGGCCCAGTGGTTCTTGAGAAAAAGATTTTTAAAGATTTTTCCAATATATATCGTATGTAAAACTTGGGTCGGCCATTTTGGCCCCACCCTAGCCCCGGGGGTCATGATTTGAACAAACTTGAATCTAAACTATCTGAGGATGATTCCACATGAGTTTCATTTTTCCTGGCTCAGTGGTTCTTGAGAAAAAGATTTTTAAAGATTTTTCCTATATATTCCTATGTAAAACTTGGGTCGGCCATTTTGGCCCCACCCTAGCCCCGGGGGTCATGATTTGAACAAACTTGAATCTAGACTACCTGAGGATGATTCCACATGAGTTTCATCTTTCCTGGCCCAGTGGATCTTGAGAAAAAGATTTTTAAAGATTTTTCCTATATATTCCTATGTAAAACTTGGGTCGGCCATTTTGGCCCCACCCTAGCCCCGGGGGTCATGATTTGAACAAACTTGAATCTACACTACCTGAGGATGATTCCACATGAGTTTCATCTTTCCTGGCCCAGTGGTTCTTGAGAAGAAGATTTTAAAGATATGTTTCCTTTCTATTCCTCTGTTAAACTTTGCTCGGCCATTTTGGCCCCACCCTAGCCCCGGGGGTCATGATTTGAACAAATTTGAATCTACACTACCTGAGGATGATTCCACATGAGTTTCATCTTTCCTGGCCCAGTGGTTCTTGAGAAGAAGATTTTTAAAGATTTTTCCTATATATTCCTATGTAAAACTTTCGGCCATTTTGGCCCCACCCTAGCCCCGGGGGTCATGATTTGAACAAATTTGAATCGACACTACCTGAGGATGATTTCACATGAGTTTCATCTTTCCTGGCCCAGTGGTTCTTGAGAAGAAGATTTTTAAAGATTTTTCCTATCTATTCCTATGTAAAACTTGGGCCGGCCATTTTGGCCCCACCCTAGCCCCGGGGGTCATGATTTGAACAAACTTGAATATACACTACCTGAGGATGATTCCACATGAGTTCCATCTTTCCTGGCCCAGTGGTTCTTGAGAAGAAGATTTTTTAAAAATGTCATTAATTTTTCTCTAATTCATAATTATCTCCCCTTGGAAAAGGGCATGGCCCTTCATTTGAACAAACTTGAATCCCCTTTACCCAAGGATGCTTTGTGGCAAGTTTGGTTGAAATTGGCCTAGCGGTTCTTGAGAAGAAGTCGAAAATGTGAAAAGTTTACGGACAGACAGACAGCTAGACAGACAGACGGACGGACAGACGGACGCCGGACAAAATGTGATCAGAAAAGCTCACTTGAGCCTTCGGCTCAGGTGAGCTAAAAAGGGCACATCAAATTTAAAAGAATAAACATTTTGTCAGAATTTTAGTTAAATTAATTTTTTTCCACCTTAAAAATTTTGTACATATACCAGTATATTTCTTAGCAGAAAACAAGCTCAATGTCTGCAAGAATTTAGAACAAAGTGCAGAAAACAAGTGGGACAGACAAACAGACAGACAAGCAGACAGATAGAAACCTTTAGTCCCCCCCCCCCCAATTTCACTGGTTGTGGGCTAAAAAGTGTAATACATGTACTTTGAGAACATATTGTAACCCTTTGATTGAATCTACATTCCAGGAGGATTCTGTTATAAAAAAAAAAACATGAAGTCACTAAACATGGTTCTGCTTTTGTTTAGAAAAAGATTTTCACCACCCCATCCTAACCCAGGGATTTTAATTTGTTTAGAAAAAGATTTTCACCACCCCATCCTAACCCAGGGATTTTAATTTGAACCTAACACTACAAAAAGATACCAAATACGAAATTTGTAATTTGTGAGAAAAGTTAAAAGAAAACTAGAGGTACTGTGAGCAATGAGCTCACTAAATGATACCCCCCGCCTCCCATAATGTCGATGTGTTGCTTTATATTGTTTTACGGTAATGTGTAAAGAGGAATAACTCGTCCTATGAAGTGTTATCCAGAAGCTTCTATTATGTGACGTCATAGGTAAACAAAAAATGGCAATGTCCATGTTTTGCTCTGGGAAACCTAAAATACGTGTCGAATAAAATAGTAAAATAGGAGGTGCACAATGGCAATATGTAATCAAGATTCTGTGAAAGTTTCATTAAATTTCACTCAGTAGTATAAGAGGAGTTGCGGATAAGAGAAAAAGCGTAACAGACGGACGGACGGACGGACGGACGGACGGACGGACGGACGTACAGACGGACGGACAGACGGACGGACGGACGGAAATCCCGATCACTATATACCCTCCCGCTTTTCAAGCGGGGGGTATAATAAAAATATGTAGGATATCTGTCAACAAAGTGACTAAAAATAATTGCAATATTCTTCTGCTCCTGGACCATTTAGTAGAAGAATAAGTCACAAGAGTCACCCTTTCTCTTTTGTTTCTAGATCACTCTTTCTTATAATGTCATTCAAACTTAGACCTAGATTTAACTTACATTGGATAATGTAGGCTGCCAGAATGAGAGCATCAGCCTGTGAACAGAGCAGGCGGCCATGGTGTAGGTCACGTCTCAGTTGTAGGAACAAGTAGTATCTACAAAAGACAAATCAAAATTATCATAACATAATATGGCTCTGTTTCATTACTACCATTATTCCTGCTTTGCAATGTAAGTGGTAATGACTTACTTGTAATTTACATCTAGCCATGTATTCTACTTTGCACCTTTTTGGGAGTTTCTTCTATATCAAGTTAATTGTGTCTGTTTATTTTCATAAAAAAGCACATTTCAGAAAGCTCTAAATCAAATCTATGCTTTGTGGAAAACATTTTCTTTTAATATCAAGTAAATTGCATATATATTATTTCATATTTAAAAAAGCACATTCAAAAAGCCTTACATCAATTTCTGCTGAATACATAAACAACAATGTTATAAAAATTTTATATTATCTAGTAAAACAATCACTTTCATCTGTTTATAAAGCATGTATTACATAAAGCTGTTCTTCAAGGAATAAGGGTTTCCGATAAAAAAGGTTAATGATTCAGATGATAGTGATGTTTACCTATAATGTAGAAATTTCCCTGATTACTACCTGAGTTTCATTTTCACCTCTACGATATGTTGTCATGAATCCCTATTTGGTCAAAGGAACATTTTTCTCAATTTTCTCTTTCTGAGTTTTTATTTTCAATTCCTCTGCTTTCACAATATCTAGGTCAAGCAGATTCTTGGTAATTATTTCTTTATATAACTTATTAACTTATATAACTCATATATCCTTTAATCATATCAAAATATGTTTACCTCTTCCTATATGAGATATTCATTAATACATGCCACATTAAAGTGAAAATAAATGACGCAATATGTAATTGGAATATTACGTATCTTTTGAAGGACCAGATCACGATTCAAAGCCAAACCCTGCTCTTGTGTTAATGCTCAAGTAATCTACCAATTAAGCTTTCCAAATACCACTGTGATTGAATCTGCCTGCTACCTACTATACTATCACAATATATTTATGATACATGTATCTACAGTAAATCATCATTTCCCATTTTTTTTTTAACATCATGTTCAACATTTTTTTAACATTATGTAAGCTTATCTTTCAACAATTTGTTTGAGTTACTCTGTACTTATTGTAATCTATATCATGCTATACCTGGTTATTTCTTCATGTAACTTGGAAGGATCTGAAGGGTAAAACTTCACTCGAAAACACAAAACACATGGATTTACACCTGTAACAAATAAAAGTCAACAATCAAGCTAATGGATCCTTCATAGTTGCAGAAAATTTTGTTTCTATATATTCAAAAATAAAATCCCCTTTGTTGTGCCAATGCTACATTTTACAAAAATGCCCATTTTGAGGGGGAAAAACTAGATTGATTTTAAATAAGCAAAAAAAAATTTTAAAATGGCACATGCTGTACTTGCCATGAGGCATAAAAATTTTCCAGACATATATTTAGTATTTTGGAATATTGAAATGTTTTTTTTTTCCCCTTACAACAGAATCTATACATAGAAGCATCAATTTTCCTGTTTTTTTATTTCTATTTTTATTCAACATTAAATTATAAATGTGAGATACATTATTATATAAAAATAAATGATATGTATGCCTATAAAATTAAGAAATATTTGTTTTCTGGAGGTTAGAAAAAGTTTTGACTCAGGGCATTTTTAGTCAGTTGGTCGAGAGACAGTAAACAAACAATTTTTTACAGATTCAGGCCGAAAGAATAAGTGCATGGTTTGAAGTCCTTTTGGACTTCCAAATCACTTTCACATATCTATGGTATTTGAGATGTTAATGTTCAAGATAACAATGTTTTACTGTATTCAAAATAATATTAAATATATATTGGTTGGGGACAATACACTTATGTTTGTGTCATTAAAATTTTCCTTCAATAGCTTTGAAATACTGTAAACAAACATTTGGGTAAGTATGGGACACCCAAAGAGGAGAAGTTTTGGATACAGTATTAATATTCTATGGAAGAAATCTCTTCTATAACAGAGTCATTACAAGACCCGAAGGAATCCATAGAGACTAATTGAGTTTTAAATCCAATAGCTGAACAGAAGCCAGCATGTCTTGTATGTTATTAGCCTTCATAAAGAATCTCTTTACTTCATGTACATCAGAAAGAGGAGACTGGTAATTTATGTGTTTTCTCAGACAGTCAAAGAACCTGATCACTTAGAGAGAACATCTCACCAAGAATACTATACAATTATTAGTCTTTCCTAGACATCTGAAATTCTATATTATGTCAAAGAAATGAATCATTTCTCTGTTTTAGAACTTGTTTGCAGATTTTTTTCCCCTAATGAGAGAGTGAACATAAACATTCATGCTTTATATGTAAATCAGAAACTTTTCCTTCTAATTCCAGGATGTCCTCATATAATCACTCCTGAAAGGATAAGAGATTCCATGATTCAATTACCATGGAAACCAATTATTTTCATTTTATCTGGAAGTGTTATCAACAAACTATAATGTGCAAACTTTTTAAAATAAAATTATGCAAACTAAATTATTATCATTAAAACAATCTGATAGTAGATTTACATGTGACATATGCATAGAAATGAATATAACAAGAGGTCCCGTCAAAACAAACACCTGAGTTACTTTAATGGCTCTGTTGTTCTGCAACAGATTTTTTCCCCAATAAACATGAGTTCTAATGTAAAAGTGTGATCATCTTTTATGGCCAGACCCTATATATATGGATCCTAATTTGAACAAAAATTAATTTACACTACCAGAAGATGCTTTCAAATTCACTATGTTCCATATATATAGCTTCGCAGCTCTTGAGAAGGGTTTTAAAGATTTTTCAGTAACAATATAATCCCTTTTGTGGCCCAGTTTTATACTTCAGGTGACCATGATTTAACAATTTAGAATGTATGCTACCCCAGGATGCTCCCACAAAGGTTGCACTTTTTTATGGCTCGGTGGTTTTTGATTCTTTCCCCTAAATAACCCCACCATGTCTCTGTTTTTTCTTGATTATCTCCCTTAATAGGGGGGCATGGTTCTTCATTTAGAACCCTTTACCTAGGGATGCCCTAGTTAAAATTGGTCTAGACTGGTTCTGGAAAAAAATGAAAATGTGGACAGTTTACAGCTCAGGTGAGCTAAAATGTTAGAGACATAAACCAAATAAGAATCTACTCGTAAGGACATTCCCCTTAATATATACACACATATTGCAACTTATAAAGAGAGGATGAAAGAAAATGTTGGTCACAGCTGCAGCACTTGCTATGACTCAACTACACCCCAGGCCTCACCTTTCAGCTGTTTGTACACCGATTTTAAAGGATCCAGCCAATGCTAAAAAAGTAAACAACATTCAAGTATTAAAAACTTTTATTAAGTTATTTGTGAACATATATTTTTATTTTTTTAAAAATAAATTTTTGATGATGCAGACTTCCTTTTTTAAACAGTTTTTTCCTTCTGTTTAATTTTTCTTACATGTACGTTGAGAAAAGAAACCAGCTTTCATTAAATCAATTTTGCCTTTAATTAAACATCAAAAGCTGAAAAAATGGCATCATCAGTAATATTAATGTGAAGTGATCCCTAGAAGCCCATGAATATATTCCAATCAGATAAAAAATCAAACATTTACTCCATCAACTTATCATCGCCTGTCTAAATGAAAACAATAAATGAGCCCAGCACTCCTAGTCAGTCCTATAGGCCTAATAGCTATGATGTAAAAAGACAGCCAACATTTTTATGTGAAGACAAATTGGCAACTCTCAGCTTATAAATTTGACTATATATGAACTACTATGTGTGAAATGCAATTTGCAAAAACCAGTTTTAGTAGTAACAAGAATGTCTTTTCCATTAACAAAGCAAATTAAAGGCCTGTCTGAGCTTTGAAGTAAAATTAGTTATGGTGTTTGTATGTTGTTTAATACTATGTCTCTATCTCTCTAGAATTTTTCACTCATATGGGGACACCACCACTTGTTGGTGGAGGGCTGCATATTCAGCACTCTGAGGGCTTTTGAGCAGTGATCAAGGGATCTTTTTGGTGCCAACACTTACTGAGACACGAGACTTTGTATGGTTTTATGGTCTTATCTGAGTGACAGACCGGTCTCCACATCCCACAATGGATTCAAACCCACAATAAGGATCAGCTCCTTACTCTGCCACTCAAAAGCAGATGCTCTGACCACTAAGTGATGTGGGTGACCTCAGTTTACCAACTTCCAATTCTCAATATAATTGGCTTACTCTGGACAATAGCAATAGAGTTCAAAATGTGTAATCTCACTAAACGGTATGGAGGTAATTTCCATCAAAGTCTGTCTATTCGTCCAGGGTTCGTCTGGAGATTTGTGGATCAGAAACCTTTGTCTCGGGAAGATGTGCACAGTTATGAGTAACAAAATAAAGTTCACGGAAACATTCTTATATTCAATTACATGATCATTTAAATTTTGTATTTAAACGAATAGGTTGCATGCAATTATTTGTAATTATTTCAACATTCAATAAATGAGTTGTAAGGAATTGGTTTGAAATTATATTAGTGACTAGTTTTAAAATTAATGTTTAATTGTATGGTACTTAAAATATTAAACTCAAAAACAAATTCTAGACATGAAATCAAATCACAATATTTTAGGGGTCAATTTAAATGTTTTATGTAATTTGTGGAAATAATTCTTTGGGTCAAGATAATGTGTTCTAAACCAAGCATATCTAATAATAAAATTTGAAATATGAGAAACTGCATGTATATATAAATTATATAAAAGATGTAATACATGTAATATAATTGGTGTTCTGTTCTGTCTTCTCTCTAGCTACACCTTATCTACTTTATTTACAAGAATACCCTATATGCAATTCTACCTTGTATTTTCAAGTAACTAATTGCAGTACCTCATATTTAACCTGTCAAATTTAAGTTTTGTTTTAATCAGGGTGATACTTAACTCCCTTTGTGGTGCTCTTTAGTAAGAAAACCAAGAAAGCTCTAAATCTTGAGCTTTCAAAGGCATATATACCAAAATAAAAGGTTATCTAATTTGTGATCTTTAGAGCAATATTTTATCAACTTCCAAAATTAACAATTAAGAAAAAGAAATTGCTGACTTTGTATTAGATGAGACATTTAAAAGTGCATGACAATAAAAATGTATCAAAAAAAGTTGTAGCTGGATCCTCTTCTCTCTTAATGTCAACAGTTGCTGATTAACTGAACAGGATTTTGAACTATTCTTCCTCTTTGACAAGACTTACTGTCAATTATTGACAAATTTTCATAAAAATAAAAAACTTCTGTTTTGTGATCTTGTGTTATTTTAAAAAAAAACACTATAAATATCTTGACGTGTTTTGCAATTAAGTAAGACATATTGCAGTTCTTTAGTTGAATTCAAGTGTCTATATCTCTGTTTTAAACTTCAATCTTTGCTATACATGTATATATACGGTGGCAAAATCAAAAAAAAAAAAAAAAAAAAAAAAAAAAAAAAAAGATGTCACAAGATGCATTTTTTTTTAACAATGTTGCATCACAAATAATTTTACTGTGTACATATCACACAAATTCTTGCATTAATAAGAAACCTGACGAGAACCAAAATAAAATTGACAAATACAAATGTAAATGCATGCTTCTCTATAAATCTGATACTTCTGCAAATAGCATTCTTATTTTCTATCCTAGTAAGCACATTCCATGGGTGGTTCATGTATATTTGATTTATAACAAAATTCAGTTCACAAAAGGAAAAACAGCTGGAGAAAGGAGATTGTTAAAACTACTGACAATGTTCTTTCAGCAATTACATGGACTGACAATTATAGGACATTAAAATGACCTGTCCTTCAAGAATAGACCACTATAATCATCCAATGGTTAACAATAAAACATATAAAGGCCAAGGAAGAAACCTTAAGGTGTCACAAAAGATGATTTATGTCAAGTACGTAAAACTGTTGTGATGAGCTATGCCTTTTATTTTCTCTTTTACAGTTTCCTTATATATTGCCAACAATATGCATTGGCATCTTTATTTCAGGAAGGAAGCAATGCTCAATTATTATTGATTAAAATCTAAATTGTACCCAAAAGTAATAGATACCCTTTGTTTATCTTCTACGTATCTCAGGCCAAAGTAATCCTTTTCCACCAAGTTCAGTTTATTACACACTTGATCAAACAGTTCTTGTCCATGGGTGTCCTTCTGAAAAACAGAAAAGTTTGGTCAATCAGTAGGTACATTTGTATATGTATAAACATCACAACTAAGCAGGAAAGTGAAAATAAAAATCTCTTGAGAAAAAAAGTCATCAGGATCTACATGATTGTAATAAACTTTCACCTCACAAGAAAAATAATTCTTTATATTAATGCACATTTTTAGCAGATTTCCCTTTCTTTCAAAAAAAAGAAAGATCTTCTATTAATTACAGCATTGAGCACAAAATTGTATTTTTTTTTTGCTTTTTTTTTTTTTTTGGACAATCTTCCATGAAAAAAAAGTCAACTAACATAAATCAAGGAATGAAAAAAAGGCAAAGAATAGTATTTCATTAATGATTAGAAACCAAATATCAGTTGCGCCCACAAGATGCAAAAATTTATAAACCTTGTTGACACAGGACCTGTATAGTAGAAAAGAGATCTGAGGTTGGCTGCTTTAATCAATTAATCAATAATTTGACTTTATCTTAATATGCAGATCAATTGATATCTATAGCCTTGCCTCTGAAGATGCATGTTACCATGAAAAATGAATGATTTATGAAGCCATCATGAAAAATCTCAGCAGTCAGCATTTTGAAGCATTATCTTAATCACCTTGTAATTCTTATGTTGCTGAATTCTTATCATAAATTAATCCCTAATAAAAACAAATCCATGACTAATCAAAGACAGTATCTTTCCTCTTCATCAAAATTTTCATTGAACTGCATAAAATAATCATTTGATGATTAATACATGTACTGCAAATGATTTTTTTTCAATCAGCATTTCAAGATTTTCCTTTAAGCTATGCAAATTCGTTAAAATATTTCTACAATAGAAATTGTAATAATAAATCCTACCAGAAAAAATATTAATAATACAGTACAATAGAAATTATAATAATTTAAATGTCTTGTTTCCTACCAGAAAAAATATTAATAATATATTGCCTCTGATCTTTGGGCATTAAAAATACAACACAACCTTGAAACGAGGAAAATCTGAATGCAAGATATTGGTGCATGACACTTAAATTATGACATCGATACAGATCCATTCATTCATCAAATAAAATATCTGTTTAGACCACCAATAATATAAGTTTTCCAATTAAAGAGTTTATAAATGTAATGGTAAGAATTTACCTTACATTTAAAGTTTTCACTGACTTCCAAACCATCAAGGTCGGTGTAAGACACCTTCTTCATTCTGTTCTAATCAATTTCCTACTTCCTGAGTATCAAAGACATGCAATCACAGGCAGAAGAACACAAGAAACATACAGGTCAATCCAGGTCCATTTCAATTTCAAAATGGGTATCCATAGAGACCCTGCATTAATGGTTCGTGATGATGAACCAGCTATATGTAATAACACTACCTGTCTAAGATTCAGATTCGATTTTGTCTATGAAAAGACAAGAGCCCTAAAAATCCAATTTCTCTGCAATATCTGTCTTGGAGACTGACATTGCTAGTGATCCAGTCAAATTAATTCTCTTCTGGCTGCCAAGCAAATGACACACGTAATTCCCACTTAATGAATCTCAAAATACAGTATTCCATCCAAGGCAATCAGTCACTAAATTTTCTTATTTCCATATGTTTTACTTGTTTCTTTTTTGTTTGATTGAATCAATTATGGAAATTGACTGTACAAATACTATTAAACCAGAGTCAATGGAACTCTTTGGTATGGAGGTGTTGATGGCACTACGTTGTCTGTTTGTACTGTATTGCATGTCAGGGTATTGAAATCTATTGGGCTGTATTATCAAAGGTAGTACAATATTCGATCCCTATAAATATCCTGGCTGGATTTCCGTTTCCAATTGAATCTTATGGGAAATATTGATGTACAAATTATACATATACTAACACCCTATTCTCAATATGGCCATCTAATGATCCATTTATTATTTTGATCAGGGTAATAAATCAATTTCTCTTGGCATTTAATTGACCACCATTGGCTACTTTCATCAAGGAATAGAATCTCTCAAGTCAGAATTGTTGATTTCTATTGGAATCAATGTCATAATGCCCTTTTCTGGGTGGTAGGTACTATGTACTATGAGTATATATACTCATTAATATTCAAAACATAACATTCTCAGAATAGGAGCTATGCATTAATAATTCAACATTCTACCCCCCAATAAAAGGTAATGAGATTCTCTTACTATTTTTAAATAAATGTCTGTCCTAATCCACAAGAACACAGGTATTTTTTACTTTACCTCACATATAAACTGTAATGCAAATTTATCACTAGTTTTTACCATGTACTCATTTTTTATCCTGCAACAACCCCTTGCATTGACCTAATAAAGTTAACTTAATAAACCAAAGCTTTATCTGGTCACTGCCCTAATAAAGCCTCGTGCATGTATTCCGACATTCTAAAAGCATTGTGACGTCATGTATATTGCAATGTTTACGCCGTGGCGTCATAGTTTCAACTGCAGAGTTGTGCCTAAATCTGTCGAAAAAAGTTTGTTTTGGATGTTCAAATGTAAAATTTTGTTGCAGAATAAACAAATACATGATAACTGTCTTGAAATATAAGCGATATTTGTGCTCAGGTTGAAAACGCGAGAGGGCTCGGCAAGCCTTGCCCTCTATCACATTTTCTTACCCTCGCCCAAATATCGCTTATATTTCAAGACAGTAACCATGTATTTTATATTTATACATTAATTAACTATACTAATATACATGTAGTACTGAAATCAATTTGTGATGTCACTCTTTATCTTAAAAGTCTGACCATATTTTGGATGAAACTCAGTATGGTGTACATTGAAGACCTGAGTATTTAATTTTTAAAAACACTATCTTTATGTTGACCTACTATTTAAATTGTATATTTATCAATATATAGACAGAAATTACTAGCATTTTAAACATTATATGGCTAATTTCAGTGCTTTTCCTTGTTACATCTCTATTCCCTATAAGCAGAAGACCTCAGACCCTACGGGGACTCTCCTCCTTTACCTCTTAGGAATGGGGAGGTACTTGGGCATTAACCTATTATGCTACTGTTTCAGTGGAAAATTAAAATGTTTGGATGTATCTTCTTTTATTATTATAATGAATCTTATTCTAAAGAATAAAAATTTGTTATCCACACTCGATCCCATCTTCCCAAGTCAAGAGTTTCTGATCCGCTCCGCTCCACATAAACCCTTGACCGAATAGGCTAAGTTTGACGGGGTTAGAAATGCGTTCTCTGAATGGCCTCATGTAAGTTTGCATGAACCAATCAAAATCATTGTTTTATTTAAACTGAAACTACATCGTAATAAATAGAAAAACACGTCAGTTTTAGTCCCAAGAATAACGTATTTACCATTAGATAGCCCAGTTAAAGGTTTGTCTCAGTTTTTTAGTTGAGTTATATTGAATTTATTATATTACCAATATTTACTCGAATTCGCTTTTGAATTCGTTTACTCCGATTGGCTAATAGCAGAGGTCAGGAGAGTTCAAAATATGTAATCTCACTAGATGGCGTGACAGTAAACCCCGTCAAACTTAGCCTATTCGGTCAAGGGTTTATGTGTAGCGGAGCGGAGTAGAAACTCTTGATTGGGGAAGATGACTCGATCCAAACAATGCTCAAAATTAACATCTTGGTATTACATTCTTTTTTTTCAGGATCATTTCATTTCTTCTTAATTTATGTTCATGGTAAAGTGTAGAAGGAAGGTAGCAGATATCAATAAGTTGTGAACTTTTTTTTTTACAGCACCCTTACCATACCATGAAGAAATGTATTATTTTTGAGACATGAATTGATTCTAACTGATTTTACAGATAAATCAGAGATTCTATCAGACTATACAAAGGGGATACAGTCATACAAAGTCTCTTTCTGACTGACAGTCTACTAATTTATATAATTTCATTTATAACTCTAGCTATTGCATTAAAACTGTTATAATTTCTTAAATCTTTCAAAAACCATGTTACTGTACTATTCAGTAGCGAAAATAGAAACATCAAAACTGTTCTTCCTGTTTGAATGACATGTACACAATTCCTAAGTGACAGAAAGATTAGATCTTCACCTTTTTAACATGCTGAGAAGGTAAAATTAACCACAAACTAGGCAAATGGATGGTTTGAAATAAGTGAAAAACTCAATGTGGGAGTCTGATCAACCTGTTTAATCAATAACTTTGGAGTAACTGATGGAGTATACAGTTAGTACTTATCAGACATCCATCACTGTCCATTAACATGGTCAGTGCTGTCAAAACATGGTACTGATACAACTTATTAGGCACACCCGATTTTTCAACCCACAACCCGATTATTTTTTATTGGGAAAACAGCCCTGTAGAAAATCCGATTTCCGGATCTTCATTAAATTAAGTGTAAACTGCCAATGGATTAATTATCAGTGCAGTGTAAACAATTAACTGGGTGTTGTTTTACAATGTTTGAAGTCAATTTATTGATGAACCAAACACATGTTTCTGATTCGATATTTATGTACAATATCAAGGAATCTTGGGGAAAAAACTATCATTCTAGATAAAATAAAGTGATCGAAGAAAGTGTATACCTAACTTCACATTTAAAACATATTGCAGAGTTAATGAATTAAGAGAGAGGAAAAATAACTTCAAAACTGTAATTGGTATACTTTCAAATTAAGCAGAAACTGAAAAGTCTTTTTTTTTTCTTTTTTTTTTTTTTTTTTTTTTTAAAAAAATGCACACATCAGAGAAACCCAATTCTCATTTTCAACATGTAAATTAAATTAAATTATGTATGAATTTTTTGTCATAGTAAATTAAATCCTTTTTCAATAAAGAATTCTAAATATACACATGCCTTGTATATATATATATATATATATATATATATATGTATAAAATTTAATCATGGTAAATATGCAGCGTTATGACCAGAACTTTCCAAATCTGGTCATGACCAATTTTTACATGCCTAGTAATGAACTTAGGCACACTCCTGGAATCATCTTGTAATTAAGTGCTATTCAGTGCATTAAAAATTCAAAGAAAACATTCTGCCTGGCTTCCACTTCATTATAGTTCATAGCAATACTTCCAGAATCCATCAGAGCCTCCTACAGAACCTGTAATCAAGTCAGTGTATTATAAAAGTACTCCAGTTTTTCATTTGTATATTGCTAAAAATTACAAGTATGGAGATTTATTTGAGTTCATTTTGATTTTATACAAGCACCCTTTTTTGTATGCAATAAAGTAGACTATAATTTTTTTTTCCCAATAATTCATTCCAGCAATAATAATTTAAGAGTAAAAAATTTAGTTTGCCTTCAAGGATTGATGTGATTTTAGACTGTTATGAGTCATGGAATTATCCTTTCAAATCAAAATTCATGCAATACATTTTGTGTCAGGAGGGTAATTGGCACAATTTAACTTGAAAATTTTATTCAAAATTAATGAAAATTTTATTTAGTGGTATATTAGAGGAGTTGCAGATGGGTACCCCCAATACTATTAAAAGATCGGCAGTGTCCCCTGTTTTTTTAATCATGTAACACCACAACTATCGGTCCAGTTTATAAATATAAAATAGTTAGCTAGATGCACAATATCACATTGCAATAAAGATTCCATGAAATCTCTTAAAAAATTATTCAGTGGTACAGAAGGAGTTGCCGAAAGGAGATTAATATTACCCACAAGTACATGTATATTAGAAAGAATGATAGTGTCTATGTTGTGCTTTTGGAAAACCCAACAACAACAAAAACATTCATTTTCAAGCTGTTTCATATTAATTTATTCACATTAAAAACAACTTCTTTTATGTAACTTCAGCAGCATTCATTATACACAAAGAAAGAAGAAAAATGTTGGGAAAATCTGAAAAACTCTGTAGCAATCAGTCTGTTCTTTCAAAAAACCTAATTAATCCCTTCATAATGTACTTAGCATTCTGCCAAAATGTTATCTTCACAAAAAATCTTTACATTACAGGGAGTGGTCCTAAATCTCAGCAATAAAAAAGGATTTCACTCTGAAGTAGATGCCCAACCAACTATAAAAAAATTTATTTACAATAAAAAAATGTAGATGCTTAGATAATTAGATATTACATTATTCAATTGGTATGCCAAATCTTATCTTTCAATGCACAATATTTGTTTTTGTGGTAATGTAACACATCATTTTAGACGTGAGTAGGTAGATATTTTTTTTGTCAATATGTAACATGGACAATGAATAAATTATAGATGTCGTTATTTTAACACTACTCTGTCCAGCATCTGATCATCCAATTATTTCAAAAACTTGTAATTATAATTACATATTCAGTTCTTACATATTCTTACTAAATCATTTAGACCATAGCATGCATATTATAAATTATCATTCGACAAGAGCTTTTGTCAGTTTTAAAGCATATGTCTAATGTCAACATGACCCATCTCTGGAATCCTCAGGAGTCCACCTTAACCTCATGTTTCATTTCCTCCCTTAATTCACATCTTCCCCATATGGATTTCAATGTTTCAAGTAGGGCTGGGTATCCAAGATGAGAATTTTGAATTGCATTATACTGCAATATTTTTACTTACTGTATTGAGATATATTTTTAATATCACTACAGTTTAAAGGACATTTTCTTAACCTAGCTCGACCCATTTATAATTATTATTGAGTGTATATACATGTTAATGTTGATTTCCCTGAATGAAATGCAAGTCCATACAACAGCAATCTTACTGTTTGGGACGATTGAAAACATTTCTGACATCTTTAAATTTCATATTTTATTATAGAAATCCCAAGCCCAAGCATTTGAGTAGACCAGTATTGAAGAAAAAAATGCACTGCAATGCAATACTTTTTTGTCAATGAATTGCAATATATTGAAACAGGAATATTGATACATGTAATATTCTATGTTCCAAGCGTTCTGGATTTTTACCATGATGGTAAAAAGATGACTTCACATGATCAAAGTTTAAATCAGACCATGCAGCAACAATGAAGTCATTCCAACAAAGCATATGTGTTCCCCCAAAGTGAAACAACAGCAGCAAGGGATATGTAGTTTTGTATTAATCAATATCTGCTGAATATATAGACTTTGTATAACTAGACAGTATACTTCTATTTTAATGACAGCAAAGTCCCTACTGAGACCTTCATAAAAGCAGTATTATATTTCCAATACATGCATTCATCCTAGTTTCAATTTAGCTAAAAAGTAGAAGAATTTTTGGGGGATTAAATAAGAACTAGTGATACTGAGCTCACTAAATGATATCCCTGACTCCCATATGATTATAATGGCAAAGTCCACGTTTTGTTTTGGGAGACTCAGAATAAGTGTCAAATCAAAAAGTAAAATAGGAGGTCACAATGGCACTATGTAACAAAGATTCTGTGAAAGTCTCATTAAATTTCATTCAGTGGTGAAAGATGAGTTGTGGAATGTGGATAAGAGATTGGTACCCCAAAGCATAACAGATGGACAGATGTACAGACAGAATCCCAATCACTATATACCCTTCCACTTTTCAAGTGGGAGGTATAAATGAAAGTAGTTTGGGATCAGTTTGAAACAGGTCTTCAGTCAATCAGTGGTCTTCTATATCAAACAGTTTTACTACCTACAGAGTACCTGTAAGGCAGGGGTGTGCAATTAGAAAAATCAATAACTAGCCCACGGGCTAGTGGCAGCTATAAAGTTACTAGCCCCAAGTGAATTGTTACTAGCCCAAACATAGGGGCAAAAATTAAAATAAAAAACTATACGTTGAAAAGACATTAATTGTTGAAAAAGTCAGGGTACGTACTGAGGTCATTCTTTTTAAAATTAAAGTTTGATTCTCACTATGAAATTAAATCATGTATAAATTATAATGAAAGAAGATTAAAATGAATTTAAATAAATTATCTTCCCTTTTTCTGAACATTGCACTAGCTCATTTAGAATGAAATTTAATTCATTTTGTTTTCATCTTAAATCATTAAATACACTATAAATATATTTTATGTGAGTCATAAAACACTTATCTTTCTTATGATTGAGTGATCGTAAATAATTTAATGAGAGATATCTGCATGCATTTTCCACAAACGAAAGAATAGAGGAAATTCGGATTAGGAAAAAACGATCGTTTTTGGAAGTAAATAAGTCAGGTAGTGCTGCAAAACAGATAGGATTATGGAGATTTATTGAGAGTTAGAGCATGTTGTCAGAAAAATTTTCACTGGTTGGGAAATTGATAGCAAAAACGAGTGAAAATACAAGTTGTGCTTGTCATGTATTGCGTGTGTAGTTATAATTTTGACTAGCCCAACGGGCTACCTCCATGCAGAAAATCACTAGTCCGACCCCAAAAAGTGGTAGCCCCGGGCGTCGGGCGATGCTAATTGCACACCCCTGTGTAAGGCACAGTGCCACTTCACCTTCATGATGCGGGTATACAGAAATACCTGCATTAGGATATGGGATGACCACTGCATAGACTAAGATAAATAAAGAAAATTACCATGAGGTCCAGTACAATATCTTGATTTAGCTATATAGGTTTAAATAGCTATATAGCGTTATTAAGCTATAAAAAAAAAGCTTTATTTAGCTATTTATATACAGTTTTTCACAAAAATGTTTTTTGCTAGAGAAAACAAAAAGTTGCACGTATTTGACTCTTCATATAATTACGTACTATGGGCAATCAGAACAACAACCAAAATCAAAGATAGTTCTAACATTACAGCTTTTGAATACTTTTAAGCAAAAAGAGAATTTCTATTGTTAGAGTAACTGTCCAGTAGCTTGGATGGTGGTGGCATGGATAAGTATGACTGCTTCTTATTGTGCTGAACTGTTACCAATCAATTATCTTGTTGACCATAATTGGTCTCCATTATAATATCATTGCAGAAGTAACTGTATCAATTGCTTTATATAGCCCCAAAACTTGTAGAACTTTGAGTTCAAAGTCTCTCAAGGAGACATAATTTGATGAGCGATTTTTACATGCATTATTTCAAGAGTTCAAATTTGTATATCATCACTGCACCAAGGTGTGCTTTTTTGTACATACTGAGAAAATTACACCTTTAAAAAAAAGTGCAGTAAAATAGCTAAATTAAGCTATTCTGAATAGCTTAATAAAGCTATATAGCTATTTAAAGCTATATAGAGCTATATAGCTAAATCAAGATATTGTACTGGACCTGATTACTGTGTGAAGCACTGGCCATATAGTATAATAATATGGTATAATAATAATAATAATTGTGACCAAATTTGAAGCAAGCATATGACACATTTATAAATAACATTTTTTATGTCATTCTCAATTAAATTGTCACAAGTAAGACTACCTGCCGGCTAAAGCTATCCATGCGGTAACATTGTTTATACCCCACACTCCACTGCGTGTATAAATTTCAATGTGTATTAAAGGCTATCTAGGGTCACTACTATATTCTGCAACCCATCTAACCGTCCAACAAAATCTATAAATTTGTTTATTTTTTTTCTTGCATAAAGCATGCTCATGTTTCCAATTTCTTATAATATACACCAGCTGAATAGCATTTGTAATGACAGCAGGACTCGTGCATAAATTTATACCTTAAAACTTAGACTGAGGGGTTCCGAGTCGTCCAGAAACCGAATTGAACATTGATACTCTGTATGAACATCACCCTTTACACTCTTCTTGCGAAACATCTTGATGGATGAGACCTGAAGTGTATCGAATTTCCTCAATGGTACCCAAGATTCCTAAATTTTCACACATCGATACAAAATGGAAGACCGGCTTAGTCACATGACCAAAGGTCAAGGACAATTTTTTAATTCGGAACTTATAATTTACAATCGGCAATCCTCGGCTGACTCCGCTAGGCTCCATTCAAACCTCGGATGTGATAGGTAGTCACATGCTACACCAAAGTCACTCATTTCATATTTCGCTCTGCCTAAAGTTCTTAGAAAAGGTTTCTTTTTTGTGTAATTCCTCGTGTTAATTACAACCAAATGTTAGTATTCTTTGAAAGCAAGAACACAGTGTTGGGCGTTATCGGAAAAAGTATAATATTTGAATGAAATTCAAATAAGATCACATGACTGAATCAGCAAGATGGAAGATTACCGTTGACGTCCGAGGTTATGTGCGAGGTACGAGTCATCCGAGGAACTCCGATTGTATAATTTATGAAAAAGTTAGAGTTATTCCGAATAGGAGACACTTGCAGAACAGCTGACAAAATTAATTTAACTTTAAAACATATTACTGGTACATCTATTGCTAGAATGATATACGTTGTTGTGGGTGTATGTGGCTGTGGCAAGTATGCAACGGAGTTCTATATTTATATATTGATAGCTTTTATCAAAACACCAGCCAAGAACATTGAACACTGTTGAAAAGACAGTGCAGATGTTTGGCCTAGACTATAGGCCTAGGTCCTATAACAAAACTACACGTAGATCCAGGGTTAATTTAGGTCTTGAATTCAAGGACCAGGGTCTTTCCTATTGGGAATATTGCTTGATATAGGGAAGCATTTTTCATACAAGGAAAACACTAATTAAAACACAAAACCAGTGCATAATTAAAGCAAGTACATGTACATAATTCACTTAATTTGACTCTTCCAAGTTTTCAGTCTGAAATAAATAGGTTAACTCTAAAATTTTGAGGCAAAATTTGTAATCTATTCAGCATTGGGAAATAGGCTGTAGCCCCCTACAGACCAAAGGCGGATCCAGGGTCGACATGCCCCCCCCCCCCCCCCATTTGAAATTGTTGTATGTTGAATTTATATGTCCATTGTCCTAAAATCAAGGAAAAAACGTCTGTTATTTGTAATAACTTGTCAGTTTATGGGGGCTTTGCCCCCAGACCCCAAAATGACCTTGCCTTAGACCCACTGGGGGCTTCAGTAGAACCCCAAACCCTCTGCCTTCTTCTGTCCCCCCCCCCCCCCCCCCCCGTTACGAAATTTCGGGATCCGCCACTGCATACCCTATATAATGAGGGTTGAATTCTCTCAAATGCATTTCAAACTCCAAAGGTCTAGGTCAAAAGGTCAAAAGTGTTGGTACCCAAAGGAAGGTCTTAACAAGGAATACACCTGTGAAATATGAAAGCCCTAGTTCTAACTGCAGAAGTTATGACCAAGGTTAAAGTTTTTTTTTTTTTAAATGCATAGTCAAACTCTTGGGTCAAGGTCAAAGATATTTATACCAGCTAAAAGGTCCTGTCACAATAAATACACATGTGAAGTGTGAAAGCCCAACTGTTCAAAAGTTACAACTAAGGTTAAAGTGTGGTATTTTTTTGTAAAAGTAGGTCATACTTCAAGGTCAAGGGGTCAAATTTGGTGGTGCACAAAGAAAGGTCTTGTCACAAGAAATACACCTGTGAAATGTGAAAGCTCTAGCCCCACCCACTCAATAGTTATGGGCTAGGTTATAGTTGTAATGACACAAGACAGAAAAACAAACAGACAGATAAACAGGACAAAAACAATATACCCTTCGGATCTTTCAATCTAGGGGCATAAAAATAATCCTGCTGATCTAAATACATTTTTTTTTATATATAGATCTATGCAATCAGCTAGTGTACGTGTTATATTGTAATACTGTTCATGTGGGACTCCAAAAATGCAATGGGACTCCAAAGTCAGATGGTCATGCCAAACCCCAATGCATGGTCTACTCCAAAGCCCAATTGTCTGACACGCCAAAGTCCGATGGTGTAAAAACAATTTATATGTTTATGACATCATCAAAAATACAATGCTGCACCATGCCAAGGTCTGATTGTTTTAAAAATAATAAGTGCAAAGACTAACCCTCATCTTTCAGATAAGTGCAAGAATACACCTAATGAGGTCGAAAAATATGTAACAACCATAATCTTGGGTGGGTGCTGGACTAACCCAAATCAGTCGAACATTATGTGAGGACAAACACTAAATCTCTCAGGTGTGTTCAAAGTAACACATTATCAGTTCAATAGTGTTAAAAAACTAGCCCTTATCAGTCGAATGGTGTGTGAGGACTAACTCTGTCTCTGTTGGGTTCAAGCAATAAACATAATCATTCAGTAAATTTGTATGCAAGACAAAAACTGAATTGATGGCTTTTGAATGCAGGACGATGGTATCATGGAATTGACATCAGATTAGTATGAAGTCATAAACGTTGATAGTTTCTCTGCATGCACCATCAGACCTTGGTGTATCAGACCATCGCGCTTTAGCACATCATATCTTGTTGGAAACGAGCCATTGGACTTTGGCATGACCATCAGACTTTTGCCTCTGTAAAGACAGTGAGCCATCAGGTTTTAGCGCAGACCATTAGACTTTGGCTAGACCATCACTCACACTTTGAAGTCTTATATATATAAATATATTTTCATTTCTAATTTTTTTCTCTGATAACTTTTTGAAAGTTAGCAGAGTTGATTTCTTGATAGGAGTATTTTACCCTATCTTTGGACTTTCAGTAGGGCGTGACTTCCTCGGTGCTACGTAATGGAGAATACTAGTAGATTCTCATTGGTTACGAAATTATTAACATGGGAACTTAAAATTGTTGTTGATAACGATCAGACGACTTATGCCCCACCTCTGTGCCGTGAGAGAACTTTTAATTGGCTATTTACTACACCAGTTGACATTCGGCCGCATTTCTATCATATGTATATTTCAACAGTGAAGGGAAGCTTTGTAAATTTCAGAAGCTAATTAGGTAACGTCGAGAATGCCACGCCTTACTGAAAGTCCAAACAAAGCGTGTAATTCTTCTAATTCTACCAGAATGTAAATTAGGCAGGTCGATAGGTCAGAGCTAAGGAGGCTTAACATGCATGCAAATCTCATGTGCATCTGCCTCTGTGTCTGCTGCTAAGGAGGCCAAATATGCATGTAAATGTCGTGCGGCTGCCCTTGTGTTTAATGTCAGTGGACGAGGACTATTGAAATTGACACGGGAGTCCTCGTGTAATTTAAATCTATGTCTACATTTTAAAAATCTAAATCTACAATTTTTTTTCATAATGAAATGGAAATATAAGAAATCACTGTCTAGTTAGTATAGTATGCCAGGGACATCAACCATAGTGGGAAACATGGGATAATTTATGCATAAATGCTTATTATCCCAGGTTTCCCACTATTGCTGATGCCCTGGCATACTATACTAACTAGACAGTGATTCCTTAAATATACTGGTATAAACATGTGATTGACGCAGGGTTGATAGATTTTTTATGTTACAGAGCATGTCACATGACCACCTAGATCATGTGATTGGTGCATGGGCAGAACGGTTGCAGATGCGCGTTAAAATAAGAGAGAGGACTAGTTTTCAAAAATTTCAACACTAAAAACCTATGTCATTGCTTTTACGGAAGTTATTCAATTAGTTCCCGAACTTTTTTATCAACCCTTGTATAAAAACTGCTATGCAATGCCTTTATGATTTTTTTGCATTATCGGTATATGTTATAATTTTTGAAATGCAATAATTTAGATGAATGTCTTTTTAAGCAATAAATAAATATTTACAAGGTAATTCTGATAATTTGTGTCCCCTGCTTAAGGAAAAAAGATCATGCATGGATCTAGAAGGGGTTGGGAGAGGAATGGAACTATTTAGGAGAGAAGATGGGGCAGTAGGGAACTTATGGTATAAAATTTCAAGCTCAAAAGCTTCTTGAGATATTGCTTGGAATTCAAAGTTTTACACACAAACAGAATACCTGGTATATGAATTGATGACCTTGAACTTTTACCCTTATGACTGCAAAATCAATAGAAGTCTTCCTTAGGTCATAAGGAGTTGTGATATAAAATGTCAGTGCATAAGCTCAAAGGTTCATTGCATAAGGCTCAAGATATAAGTGATAAAACACTGAGATTAAATTTTTAAATTTTATGAGCTTGACTTTTGACCTCAAAATTAATAGGCATCTTCCGTAGGCCACAAGGAGTTATGTAAAATTTAATATCAAAAGCTCAAAGGCTTCCCGATACGAAATCCAACCTGGATCCAACCTACCAGTACTTTTTCCAGAAGACGGACCAGGGCAGGTTAAAACTTTTGTAGCAGGTTCATTCTAAAGAAGCTATTTGCCATGTCTTGACCTATCTGAATTAATTTTACATTTCCATTTCTACTGTATACAAGGAAAATTTCACCCCCGTTTAATTTCCGCCACTTTCATCCTCTTTATAATTGGGCAAATTTAAAATGGGGTGAATTCAAAGAACACAGCATAATTTCTTAAACAGAATTATGACTGGGGGAATTTGAAATGGGGTAAAATTGTTCACAAGTGTAAAAGGACGAAAATAAAACAGGGAAAAAGTAACCCTGTATACAGTAGTTGTTTTCTATGTAATAACTCTTTTAAAGTTGGGTGAGTTGATTTGTTGAATGTAAATGTTAAAGCATCTGGAATGCAAATTTCACCAAGTGAAAGGTCAGGAGCTAAAAAGGCCTAGTACCTGGGTATACATTAAGATCTTGTCCACCTGTCTTTGTGTCTGACATCAGTGGGCAGAGACTGTTGAAATTGACATGGGTACTGGCCTCATAATTAAATTTTATTAGACAACATTTTTATCTAAATTTACGATTTAATTTCACAATGAAATGGAAATATATACGGAATCACTGTCTGGTAATAAATACTAACATTTCCCTCCCCTCCCCCACTCTCAGCACATCTTGTGTAATAGTTTCTTTTGTTTTGTTTTCTGTTGTGTAGTTTTTTTCTTTGTCTAATCTTCTCTGTTCTCTGTTTGCCAGGACTTCATCGTTGATTACCAGGGCATCAATGATAATTGGAAACATGGGATAATTTGCATAACGGGCAAAGCCTGTTATGCATAAATCTTCCCATGTTTTATTGAAGACCCCTGTTTATTTTGAGGTTTAAAGTTCAGAGTTCAAGGTCATAAATTCATACATTCTGTGTTTGTGTAAAATTTTCATATCCTTACTTGGATTTGCCTTACTTAAAAGACAACATTTGGTGAGGTGAGCTATGTAATCTCTGATTACTCATACCTATGTTTGAACCTCATATGCGAAATACATTTTGATGAGAACTTTAACTTCAACTTTTTTTTACCTTTCCTTTGACCTTGACCTCACTTTTTTCAAAGCATATTTTTATCATGTTTCATACATATTAATGAGAGCTATTTAACTTCATTGACACTTTATTTTTACCTTTCCTTTGATCTTGTCCTAGCCCACTTTATGAAATTTTTGTTGAGCCAAGTTTCAAAGAAACTCTTCAAAATATTTTTTATGTACTAATTTAAACTATTAATGCACTGATATTTTATTTGGTGAGAATTCTTTAACTTTGTCCAAAATATTTTTTTTTAACGTAACTTCTATGTCCTCAAACTCAGTTTTTTAGACACTTTTCAATTGATAAGATACATGTATTTTCTTCAAACTACAAATGCAATTTTTCATGTTGTATTACTTATCAGTCAGAAGGGAAGGGGGGCATTTAATAACTTAAGATTCTACATTTTGATAGCTAATTTTGTTTTCTTGCAGAACGACTGTGGGAACAGCTCTGGCAGAGAAGGTCAGTAGAGAGAGTGGCGTTAAATGAGAGAGAGTGGAGTTAAATGAGAGAGAGAGAGAAGTGAAATGGGGCTAGGTATAGGCGTTTCGCTAGGTATGGGCGTTTCAATGGAAATGAGCTTATCAAAACAACAGTTAAGGTTTATTAATCAAAAAAAGAGAGGGTTCGAATTGATTTTTTTAGCACACACTACAGTCAAAACATATAATGGCATTGTTGCCCATGTGGCACAGTTTTCAGAGTGTTTGCTCTAGTGTCGTGGTGTAAGAAGCTGATCCTTTAATCCTTACATCACAATTTTTAATCCCACTTAAGGATGTGGAGACTGGTCCTTCAGATGACACCATATAAACTGAGGTCCCATGTCACATTACATTAGAAGATATACCTCACTGCTCAAAAGCTGTAAGTGTTGAGTACAGGTCTAATTTTGCAGCCCTCTGGTGATGACATCTAAATAATTATGATTAAAAAATTCTCAAAAGGTTGTTAAATAAACATTAAGGTGTCATTAATGAAAATTTAAAGAAACTCATGGTAGATTCTCCAATTTAACTCAAAACTCCACAAATACATGTAGTACCAAGAATTGAACTGACACTTAATGTGCTGCATTTTTATCAATCTTTGGAGTACATGTACATATATTCATGGCATTTAATATTGTAAGCTACCCCAGGGATGGCTAGTATTTCTGAATCCTCAGCGTCTATATAGACCATAGTTTATCTTCTAAATAAATCATCTTTTGTCAGGATGTACCAGTAATTAAATTTGTTCTAATATGTTAAACAACCAGGCACCAATCTGTGTAGATTCTTTGTTGAATGATACTCAAGATGATTGATCAGTCATACTCAGCATTTATTGTATGTGCGGCATCTCATAATCATAACAATACAATATGTAAACATCAATATAAAACAGCTGAATCTTCAGAAACACAAGTTTAGGTCGTCCAGTGTGGTAGGAGATTTCTAACTAGGCTAATTATACGTAAATAACATTATAAGTATCTCACCGTTTTGGTTTTCTTTCTTTTTTACTTTCAAATATAGCCGCCATACAACTAGCTGAAATCTGTCGTAACGTAGTACGCGCTCGCTTATATAACCTCCCATTCCCTGTCACATGACTCAAATTATCCAATGAAATTATGCCGTATGAACTATTAACCAATCAAAAGCTTGTACGGGAGGCTGAGTTCCCACACAAGTTCCCACACAGAACTACTTCTGCCACACAAGCTACCGTACAACATCGTAACTAGTAAAACTATGTAAAATTAACAAGTGGAAATATAACACATAAAATAAGCTTGACTAGACGAATTAATAAATTCCTTCAATGTTTATAAAACATCCCTAGACTGTACAATATATGCAGAACAATGTAGCATTATACATATAAATATCGTAACTACCGACACTAGCGTACACAAATGTAGTCCCGATAAAGCTGACTGATTATAAAGTGAATGCTAACAATAAATAACAACTTGTAGCTTCAAATCACAAAACAACTCAAACTAAAAAGTAGAATACGATCCCATATTCATAAATTCAATAGAACAATGCATTACTAGTAAATACATATAGGTCACCAAACCGGAAATGACAATCCGAGTAAAGTATGATGGCTTCCAAAACATGAAATGTAAAATCCACCCTCTATTCCCCGATATTATAACTCCTACGATATTACATGAAGCGACAACAGGTAAATTATGATGATAATAGCTATTACTAAAATCGTATCTAGATAAGCTGACATATTATTTTCAATAAAATCATAAACGAACAACTTTTCTGGCAGGCACATGTTGAACATAGATTTAACAAGAATGAGAACTGGACGACCGCATAATATTACGTTTACAAATCAAGTGATATATTACACTCCCCACAACTTAATTACAAAATTCTCCTGAATTTAACATGTACAGAATATAGCTCTTTACAGTCTTTAACACTTTCACAATCTAATAGGAATCTCCTTAGAGTCAATGGTGGAGAGGAAGTCATCAGTGGAACGGTCTCTGAGGGCACATGATCTCTCCAGCATCCTTATCCAGGTGGGATCTCCGTTGTCTTCACTTACAATGGTCTTGAGCTGTTCGTAGATGTAATACCGAGCCTTGCGAACAATGTGCGCTTCCTTCTTCCCCTGTTTCTCTACTGTGCCTGGAAGTGCCAAGAAGTTGAACTTGTCTAGAAGATCTATTCGTTCTATGGTGGAACTTTTTGTCGGGTCCATCCTCTGTTGTAGCATCATTGATGCTTATTCCCACGATAACAGTTTCCTGTCTGCGGACATGGCCTGCCAATCTGTAGGGGGCCATGTGATGCTAACATCCTTGTATTTAAGCGTTATTTGTGTGGAACTCCAATCCCTTCTGGCAGGGGGGAATAGTGGGAGGCATCCTCGCTTTAATAGGTTGAGGGCCCTCTCCGACATACTAGTCCTGGGTTTTTCATTAGGTTCTTTCTGTGAGGCCAGCTCAAACAAAACTTCCTCTGTGGGTGGTGCAGGGAGAGCAGGGGTGGGGCTCAGCCTTATCTTCTTAGTTGGAGGACTGACAGGATTGGCCTCTGTCTCTTGGGAGGAGTAAATCTGGTCCAGATGAGTACGTTCAACTCCAACAAACTTAATCAACCTTTCTGAATGGTTGGTGAGGTTACCGGTCTCATTTTCTGTAGATTGGACTGAGGAGCTTCAACCCTCTTCTGGACAGACATTTTCCTCGACAGGCTGGCAATACCCTTGGCATCTGATAAAATTGCTTCCTTCAAGATGATCTTGTACACTTGTCTGCCCTGGCCCACAAACACACATATGTTCCCCAAGACGAGGGAGACATACAAAATCTCGAGCTCTTCTACCTCTGGGGCGGTGGGGGTGTAGCATACTGTATTCAGCTCCTCCTCATAGTCGGGCTGGAAGAGTGATTCTGGGGTTGGCGCCCGTGCTTTGCCGTTCTTCTTGAGCTGGTCCCAGCCTCTCTGCCAGTCGTCCTTCTTTCTTGACATTCTCCTTGCTGTTGACAACCACTCCAAAACTAGCACTCTGGCGTGGGTGGCAGACGTACTTCCCCAATCCGTCCCATTCACCAGGCGACTGTACCCTTCTGGATCGAGGCTAAACCACACTCCGTTGTTCTCCGAAATCAAATCTGAAGGATATTTAGCAAGTTGAGTTGGGTGGGTACTCTTAATATGGCTTCTGAGGTCAGTCACTCTCTTGTAAGTCCTTTCATCAGGGCACCAGGGGCAAATAACTCGCATAGTTCCATGGGCTGGCATCATGTGATTCTTCAGGTCTCTACTGGAGGGAAACTTCAGGTGGCACACCCAACATTCCATATCCATAGTCTAAAATTAAATTAATTGGTTGTTAAAGGCATTTATGGGTCATCTTATATCGTCTTAGCTTCTAAGAGAGTTTATTCGTTGTTTAAACTAAATACGAAATCATAACATCTGTCATCTCATACTTCTACTTCTAAAGTTAGCTACTTCATGTACTAACATCTACATCTAAATCTCTAAGAGACTGGTTAGAACAAGACATCAAACATCTATTAGGTTCAGTGCGTGATGTGTACCAGGTAGTAGGTCCACGTCTATAATACTGTCTTATAAACGACTTGTTAACCATCTCTATCAACATCTTTGGGAGAAGAGTTCTGGGTGATCAGGCCAGCTCTATCCCAACCTCAGTGGTGCGCACCAATCTCACATCTATTGTCTACATAAACATCTAAGTATGACTTCTTAAACTAACATGAAACATAAGAATACAAAACAACATCTGAAGAAACTTCTATGGTTTATTCAAAATTTTCTTAAACCAGTTGGGGAGGGTTTTCCCTTTGTAAGACATCAATCTATCAACATGATAAACTTTTGCGGGTTTTCGGAATGTCCTTTGCACGAGGTAGTTCAAATCATCTATTCGCTTAGTGATGAGATAAGGACCTTTCCATTTAGAAGTTAGTTTTGGACACACTCCAACTTTCCTGGTATGAAATCCCTAACCCTTACCATTCAAAAGTTTTGGTCAACGTTAAAGTATTTTCATATGTATACAGCCAGACAGGTTGACCTCTTTCAAACAATTGTTTCTTTGCTTTGAGATCATAGTGACGTTTATTGTATTCTGTGCTCTTTTTCAGGTGTTTCCTGGCCAGGGCATGAACATCTGTCAAAATTCTTTGCAGCTCATCAATATACTCATTTGGTTCTATGCCATCATCTGTCTGATTTGGAGGTTTGCCAACAACTGCTTCTAGGGGTGGAGTAACATTTCTGCCTAACATCATGAAATTTGGTGTTGTATTGATACTTGAATGTATGGAAGCTCGGTATGCCATCATGACTTGTGGGAGATACTTATCCCATGTTTTCTGGTTGTGCTCACAGTACATAGTCAACATAGTAGCTAGGGTGCGATTAAAGCGTTCGACACTGCCATTAGCTTGAGGATGCATACTACTTGTCCTAGTTTTGTCAATATGGAGGAGTTCACACATCTCTTTAAAGGCTTTTGACTCGAAGTTTCTTCCCTGATCTGAGTGGACTTGTAAAGGTGTACCAAAACGACGCATTCTTCATTGACAAATGTTGTTATGACAGTCTCAGCTTCTTGATCCGGGATAGCTATAGCCTCGGTCCATTTCGTGAAGCAATCAATCATAACCAGTATGTATCTGTTACCTTTTGTAGACTCAGGAAGGGGTCCCAGAATGTCTAGAGCTATTCTTTCCATTGGCTCTCCAACTGTGTACTGCCCTAGTGGTGCTCTGTTCTGCTTTTGACTGGATTTACGAGCAGCACAGTAATCACATCTTTTACAATATCTAGCAATTTCTTTTGACATTGATGGCCAATAAAATGAATTTTTGATACGTGATGTGGTCTTCTCAGCACCAAGGTGACCTCCTGTGGGGACATCATGAAAGTAATGAATAACCTCTGACCTCTTCTGTTTTGGTACAACCA